CCTGGGGCCTCCGCCGCCGGGCTGGACTGGGGGCGGGGGGTGGGGGGAACCGCCCGTTCGCTGGGCAGGATGGGGGCTGGAGGGGGGGAAGCCGGCGGACGGAGCCTATCGGCTCCGTTCGCCGCTGGGCTGAAAGCTTACCTTAGTGTATGTGGGGAAGATGGCCGCTCAGAAGACGCTGGCTCCGATGACTGGCTCCCTCCCCTCCCAGCCACCCAGCCAATGGCAGGGCAGGTTGGCTGAGGGAGCCAGTCATTGGAGGCAGCTCTTCTGAGTGGCTTATTTTCCGCCCATACACTAACGGGGCGCATTTTAGAATTCTGGCACCCAAAACTCCTTTATAATAAAGGAGAGATACTCAGTGGGGGAAAATGTGAGTATAGGAATAAAGGTGCAATCCATTGGGAACAGAAGGCCCATGCATGTGTCTCATAGCCCTGCTTCTTGTCCACTAAAAGATAGTTAAGCTCAATTACGGTCTAGTTCTCACTGTTTGTTTGGGTTTGTGTCTGGTATCACTTCAGACTATATGAGGTTGAATGCTCCTCAGTGCAAAAACTTCCCTTCACACTGGGGAAAGCATTCTGACTAAACTTTTCTCTGACATGCTAATGTTCTATGTGTAGAAAGGTGTGTGTGTGTGAGAGAGAAACAATATCTTATTATTTTACCAAGTTGCCATTTATATAATGACATTTGAGCTGATCTGTTTTCCAAAGCAAACAGTGGAGATGCAAATATTGCTTTGAGGCTCAGTTCTTGGCACAACATGTGACTGTTTGTTGTCAGTTATTTTATACAGCTAGTATGAGAAGGAACAAAGACTTTTTGACCCTTTAAAGTAGTGATGCTTTAAAGCTTGGGAGCCATGTGGATCTCTGATATGCCCTCTGTGGCTCCTCTGAGAACTGTTCCCCAGTATGGTGCCTGCTCCAGGTTTCAGGAAAGTGGACAAAGCTTGCCCTGTGGGGCTTGTGGTGGGCAGGTGATTTCCACCTTGAATCATCTGCCAGCAAAGGCACAGGCAAGCTGAAACCCTTCTTGGGGTACAGGTCTCATGCCAAGGATAGAAGTCAGTGTGCCTCTTTTGGTTGTTCGTTATGGTGATGTGGCTGTCCACAAGCTGTGAAGTGAGTACCAGTGCTTTAAAGCACTGTATATCATGAGTGCTGTTCAGGCTATTTAGGATTTAAAATTAGTTGAATTTAAAAACAAGCCAAGGAAGACAGGGGGGGGGGGGTGTCATACGCTCAAGACGGCCTATATCACATAGTTAAGCCACATACTTCAAATAAGTGGTATCGCGAGTCAAAAATCCACAAATGGTGAGGTTCCACTGTAGTCAGTTCCCATTCTTCTTTTCATCGTGATCTGGGCATACTGAAGCCATTTTGGTGTAGTGGTTAAGGGTGTTGGAGTAGCATCTGGGGAAGCCAGTCTCTCATCCTAACCTACCTTATGGGGTTGTTGCGAGGGTAAAATAGAGGAGAGGAGAATGATGTAAGCTGATTTGGGTCCCCCTTAAGGAGAAAGGTGGGGTATAAATGAAGTAAACAAATAAAGAAAAAAGAAAAATATGAAAGACGAGTGGTAACTAACTACACTCTCACAGGTAGCGAGCAGTGTAGTGCAATGGCTTTTTTGCCAAAGGGCACCGGATCCCTGCAGGTGGGTGGTCCACACTGCGGTTCACTATAATCTGATGAGTTCATGCTTTAATACTGCTGTACTTCTACCATAACCAGAGCTGCCTCATCATTGTTACCTAACAATGACTTGCAGGTTAAAGTCCAATTATGGGTGGGTTTTTTTGTTCTCTTGATTTAGACTCCAGCCTTCATAGTGCAAATACTGCAGTCAAGCCACTCCCTCCTGTGCCAAGAGGGCAGGTGAGTCACAGTCTTTTCAGCAAATTACTTTAGATTGTTCACAGGACCAGATATTCTATTTAACATGACAGTTACTGCTTTGCAACAAGAGAGGCAATTAACTCAATACCCTTTAATGCATGATAAACAGCATTATGAAAACTGCATGTTTTCATCATGTAAGCAGTCACATTGTTGCTGTTGCTGATGGATGGAGTGCATTTCCATAGAGAAATGCAATGAACTGTGAGTGACCCAAGCAACGGGTGTGGTTTTAATACTCTAGAATCCCTTCCCTAATTTGACAAGTCTTTGGCTTACAATCTATTGGGCAGGTCTAGACAGCAGAATCATTGCTTATGGTTGATTCATCGAAGTAGGCCCAGCATAGGTTAAAAGGTTGTGCATATCTGGGTTCTGGAGATAAGGAACTAATGTTGACAACTGCCTGGAGAAAAATGTCCCATATCTTTAACAGAGGCTTAATAGGATGTTAATAATGATGTTAATTTACGTCAACATCATAAAAAGTTTCAGCTGCCTATTTCCACACTTTAAGCCTCTGTTAAAGGGACAGGACATTTTTCTCTAGACCCGTTGGTAGGGTTCCAAAGTACTTACCGCAATCTGGCGGGGGAAACATGCTCCCCGGCTGGACCATTTCTCCCTGTAACACACCATGCCATCACCAGGAAGTGACGCTGGGCAGCGCTCTGGCAATGGGGCTGGAAACTCGATGGTACCGTCGAGTTTCCAGCCCCATTGCCAGAGCATCACCTGGCATTACTTCCTGGCGACGGGATGGTGCGGTGCATCTGTTGTCCCCGTGGGAATGATCCTGCGACGACGTCTGTGTCCCCCGTCGAATCACGGTAAGTACTTGGGAAGCCCGCTGTTCTGGCTTTTAAAAAAATAGCCATTAAGACTTATTTTCATTCACTTCATTCTCAGGAGCAGTATCCTGGGAATCAAAAAGTGTAAGAAACCCAGAGGACAGGAAGTTCTGTGCAAATATCAAACATATAGGAATACAGCAATATCAACAGGGGAAGAGTAGGATGGCTTGTTGTACTGGTGACATCAACAAAGAATACAGGGAGCTGAACCCGGACTAAACTTTCCAGTAATGCAAGAGGTAGAGTAATTTCCACCAATTCTCCTTTCCAGCAGCAAATCCCTGCATCAGTGGGCTGTAGTTGGTGTGTGAGGCAGGAACATTCTGTTTCACTGATTTGCGTGAGCAGAATACTTAGCCTGGATCCAACCCAGGATTTGATAGTTCTGCAAAACCTAGGCACAAATAACACAAATCAGTGACCTCCTGCCAGTTGATATTCTTTTTCTCCCACAACCGCTTAGGGCATAATGAGTATCAGTATCTTCATCCCTCATCTCACTGCCTAGATGGTAAATAATGAGAAAAGATGTTCCATGTTTCCTAACAGTATTTAGGGTGGACCTAAATACCCTCATGAGTTGTTACCATCCAAGCAGGGTTGCTAATCTACTTGTCCTTTTTTCTTTTTGTCTTTAGGGTAGTTACCAGAAAAACAAGGGACAAAGCCAGGGTTCTTTTAAGCAGTGCAGCTTTAGTGAATATGCTGTTTTTATCGGGACTCCACTCAGATAAAATCTGTCCCAAGGATAATAAGAACGTAAGAAGAGTCTGCAGGATCACATCAGTGGTCTGCCTGGTCCAGCATCCTGTTTTACACAGTGGCCAACCAGTTGCTCAGGAGAGCCAAACAAATAGGGCATAGAGGCAGATTTCCTCCCCTGGTATTCAGAGGTTTGCTGCCTCTGTAGTTGGAGTCTCCCTTCAGTCACCGTGGCTATGGTCTGGGGAACAGGGAAGGAACCCTTTTAAGGCTATGCATGCTCTTGGCCAGTACTACCTCCACTGGCTGTGAGTGCCACAGTTTAATTGCTTGTTGAGTAAAGAATTATTTCCTTTTTTTTCTGTTCCAAACCCATTTCCCAACAATTTTATTGGGTGGCCCAAGTTCTATTACTATGGGAGAGAGAGAAAAAGCTCCCTCTATCTACTTTCTCCACTCAGTGTGTAACTCCATGCGTCTCCCGTTAGCCATCTTTTTTGTAGTTTGGTGTAGGAGTTAAGTGTGCGGACTCTAATCTGGGAGAAGCGGGTTTGATTCCCTACTCCTCCACTTACACCTGCTGATGTGACCTTGGGTCAGTCACAAGCTCTGGCACAGCTGTCCTTGAAAAAGAGCAGTTTGTGTCAGAGTTCTCTCAGCCCCACCCACCTCACAGGGCGTCTGCTGTGGGGAGGGGAAGGGAAATGAGTTTGTAAGCCGCTCTGAGACTCCAAGTGAAGGGCGGGGTATAAATCCAATCTCTTCTCTCTCTTCTCTTCTAGACTTTCCTCATAGAAAAGGTGCTCCAACCCCGTATAGTCATCTTGGTTGGCCTCCTTTGTACTTTTCCCAGCTCTGCAACTTCCTTTTTGAGATACGGCCACCACAATTGCACACAATATTCATAATGAGGCCACACCATAGCATGAATTTTACAATACTTTTTTCGTTTCTAATGATTTCTAGCACCAGGTTTGCCTTTTTCACCACTGCCACACTGGTTTGAAAATGTCTATTTTTATAAAGCTTTCCACTAAAGCATTCTGCTTTCTGAACTTTGGCTGTCTCTAGGTTGATTTCCACGAGACAAGTTCAGAGGGTGGGGACCCTGGACCAATGTTCCCTCTAAGCTGTGGAGCCCTGTGAGCAAAAATTCTGCTTTGTGAGCTACTGGCATTAAAGTTGTGAGTGAGCGTTTTGGCTACTGCATAAATTAGTTTGCTCTGGAGTCATCCATCCTGAGCGAAGACAAAAATGTGTGAACCGGAGGCTAAAAAACTGAGCTAGCTCACACTAACTCAGCTTAGAGGGAACACTGGACCCACCTTTGAACTCTGTCATTATACATTACCTGCATGTTCTGTCTTCAAGTGTATTCTGTTCCTACTCTCAATCAGGTCCATAGTGTGACCCAAAAGGAGCGCCCCGCCTCCCACGCATTCTTATCCCAGACAAAAATGGTCTGGGGAAGGAACTATTTGGCCTGCTGTGGAAGACCACACAACCTCATGGTCTTCTGCAACAAGTCAAATAACTCCTCCTGAACCATTTCTGTACTATGTCCATTACTAATTAAGATGTAAAGATGGGAGGACAAAATCTCTACTTACTGAAAGCAAAAGTGTTCAGGCAGGAAGAATGAGACCTGTGGAATTACATATTTTCTTGACTTCAAGAGGTTATAGGGATCCACAGGGGTTGTTTCGTAGAAAAAGAGCTAGGGGAACTCATTAGCATAACTCATTAGCATATGCCACACCCCTGCCATCACCGGAAGTGTGTCATAAGGCCACACCCCCTGACATCACCGGAAGTGTGTCATAAGGCCAGACACCTTGCCCCCAACGGTCCCAGCCGCCGGCGCCGGCCTTGCAGCTCCACTGCCGAGCCCCATGAGGGGCCCAGCGGTGGACCTGCAAGGCCGGCGGGAGTGCAAGGAAGCCCCGCGAAGGCCCTCCCTGGCCCCAGGCAGGCAGGGGTGGGGAGAGGCAGGGAGGAAGCAACTTATCCTCCCTCTTCTCCTGCCTCCTCCTGGCTGAATGAGGGCCGGAAGCGGGGCGGCCGGAAGCGGGGGGAGGGGCTTCGTCATGTGCCCCGCCCCCCGTACCTCACCCGGGGGAACTGCGATCCCCGCGATCCCCCCCGAAATGACCTCTGGGGATCCAGAATATTCCTCAGAGGCACCACGACAATCCTGTTCTCTTCCTTCTCACTGGAGGTTTCACACACACTAAATAATGCACTTTCAATCCACTTTCAGTGCACTTTGCAACTGGATTTTGCTGTGTGAAACGGCAGAATCCACTTGCAAATAATCATTGAAGTGGATTGAAACTACATTATTTAGCAAGGGTGAAAGCGCCAGTTTCAGCTCTCTGTAAGGAGAGATTTCACCCTCCCATTTTTACACCCTAAAACTAGGTGTACTCAGTATTATCTGCTTGTGTGTCCAGGAATTCCAGCCTTCGTTTATGCAGTCCTATCTAACCAGGGAATGGTTTGCATATTGATTCACCTGCTAAGACATATCCACATGCTGCAGAGGATTTGGGGAATGGGGGAGGTCCTAAGATTCACAATGCTGCCTCCAGGATTCAGTGAACCCACAGGAATGACAGTGGGGTACAGAATGGTGGGGGATCTGTAATAAGAGAGGGCAGTCAGCAGAAGTGACTTTCCTTCCTCTGTCTGCACATTTTTCCAATGTCAGAAAACAGCTGTTGGACCCAAGCCGGTGGGTTTGAACTTTTGCTATGTGCCATGAACATGTTTGCTGTTGATTGTAATAATGCTGACACTTGCAATAATGCCTTCCTGTAATGTTTGATGCATGTATCCCTGACCAGCATCGACAAGCTCTGGTTCTAACAGCTGACAGATCATTTCTGAAAGAAGCCCTGGCTATTTATAACTATGAACCACAAGGAAACTCCGATGTTCCTCTTGTCAGAGATAACAAATATTACGTTCTGAAAGATGATGATCCTGACTGGTGGCAAGTGCGGGATTTGGAAGGGTAAGTTTTGAAACATTCGCTTGTTTCCAAGAGATAATTTTCAGTCATCATTAACAGACATGGGGTATTCAAGGCAAGAGCCATACAGAGGTGGTTTGCCATTTGCCTGCCTCTGCGTCACAACCCTGGTATTCCTTGGAGGTCTCCCATCCAAATTCTTGCCAGGGACAACCCTGCTTAGCTTCCGAGATCTGGTGAGATCAGGCTAGCCTGGGCTATCTAGGTCAGGGGGCAATGAAGAATTATCCAACATTTTAAAAAATTGTTTAAAAATACTTGTTTTGTTTCTCATTTCATCTTGCATCCTCCTTTCCTAATGCCCTGTGGGTTTTTTTTAAAAAAAATATTAGGATGTACATATGAATTTTTTACTTTTCATTTGCAGAAATGAAGGGTTTGCTCCTTGTGCCTATTTGAAGGAGATTGTCCAGCCAAGTGATGAATTAAGGTAAATTGAAATCTATCTGTTTTGGTCCATTAGAATTCAGCTCAGCATATTACAGAAAAAGTGAAGAGAAACCCATTATATTGGTTCTATGAACAGATTGTTTTGATGGGGTTAAAGACACATTAAAAGATGAAACTGCTCTTCAGACTTTTAATAGCAGTCTAATAGCACAATTTTGGAAGAAAATCTTTAGTAGTTATCAGATTTTTTTTTTGTAAAATACTGGTGGGGATCCAGTCCACCAGAAGTACAGCATCTGTACACAGAGGCATCCCCATATAGCACACAAGTTTCTTCCCATACAGGCACAATCAGCACACCAGACCCTGTGGGAAATCTGCATATCTCCCATGTCAAGGAATTCAAGCTCTAGGTTGAGGGAAGATAGCTCTGTTTTATCTTACGGGAATTCCTCTAAACATGTCCCATGGAGGACTGAATCAAAACCAAATCCTTCTGAAAATCTGAAACTGGTGTCTGAGGACATGCAGACATGCCTGCTGGGGGTGGGAGATCTCTTGGTGTAGTGGTTAAGTGTGCGGACTCTAATCTGGGAGAACCGGGTTTGATTCCCCACTCCTCCACTTGCACCTGCTGATGTGACCTTGGGTCAGTCACAAGCTCTGGCACAGCTGTCCTTGAAAAAGAGCAGTTTGTGTGAGAGTTTTCTCAGCCCCACCCACCTCACAGGGTGTCTGTTGTGGGGAGGGGAAGGGAGAGGAGTTTGTAAGCCGCTCTGAGACTCCAAGTGAAGGGCGGGGTATAAATCCAATCTCTTCTTCTTCTTCTTCTTCTCTTGCCCCTAGCGGGCACTGGGACAAAAAAAAATGTTTGTGTGGGTCGGCAACTGCATGATGTCATTTACAGATTTTCTCTGGAAATGACACCATACCTTTCTAGGAATTGCCAGAGCAGCAGCAATTCTTGGAGAGGGCTGACAACACTTCCAGGGAAAACACTGAAGTGATGTTGAGTCCCCTCTGGGGATCACTGAATACTCTATGGTTTTAACATAAAATTTCCATTTCTGTCAGTGTGGTAATGACTAAGGCTTGGATCGTATGAGATATCCTCTACTGCAGAGCGCACTTCCTCTTGTATTAGCGCTTTCATTTGTGCCAGCAGAAACTATCGAGTGAGCATGGAACTCATTCATAGGATCCAAGCCTCAGAAATCATTAGATTAATTGGTTGAAGATATTCATTAGAACTCATAATAGGGTTTTTTGTTTTTATGTTTTTACAGAGGTATCATGGATACTGCTAATGTGTCATCCGAAGAAGAGGAAAGCATTGATAAATTTGAGTGAGAACATTTGGCGTAACTGATTCTTGGGACTCTGAACCACCAGCCATTAGGGCTACGTTTGAGTGTTCAGGTCATCACTAAGAGGAAGGGACAGAGCACACACCTAGTAGAGCATTGTGTTTTGACTGGACAGTAGATTCCCACAGGCGCATGTACTCAATTTCAGACTTGGTCCTCGCATTGTCATCCCCCATAACAGGAAGTTGGGGAGTTTCCTCTGCTCATGTTTTAATCTTTTAAACCTTCCACTGTATAACATCTTGCTGTCTAACACCTGAGTTAAAAAAGCAGCCAGGTGGGAAAAAAATCATCCCTTCATAAGTTTCCTTCGTAAATTTCTTCTAAGGCAAATGATCTCACAACCCCAACAGATCAAAATGTTTCTCATTGTTTTTAAAAAACAATACAGCTCATTTATTTGAGAGTACTGCTTGGGATTTCTGATAGCTCTAAAAAGTGAATGATGTGACTGCAAATTATCCAGTAATCTAATATATGGATTCCCAACCCGTTCTACAGGGCCAGGAGGGTTAGGCACTCATAAGTTCACATCATACCTTGTGCAGCATAGCTCATTAGTATGACATGAGTTGAAAGTCCCTGTTTCAAATCTCAGCATAATTATGATCATGGTGGATAGCCTTCAGCAAACTCTAATTTCTCAGCTTTACCTGCAATGTTGGGGGTAATAATGCTATAACGTATCTGAAGTGGTATACAGGTAGTAAGTACTATTATAATTGCATTTTGTATACACAGTGTTGACAACATTAAATAAATCTTGTATTGCTGTTGTGCTGATTGAGAATGATGCTTCGGGAGATTTTATTAATTGTAATTTAACTTTCATGCTGTCATTGAAATGTGCTGTCATTGAAAACACATGCCAGTTTCAAATGGGAGCAATTACTTTAAAGCAAGTTTCAAAACTTTAAAGGATACTTAATCCTGTGAATAGATTTCTTAAAATAATGTAATTCAGATAATGTTCTTCCAAAATAGCTGTGTAATGAAATATGAGATGTAACATATAATACTTCATAATAATACTTCTATTACAGTTGGTATGCTGGTAATATCTCAAGGGGCCAGGCAGAACAACTGCTGCGGCAGAAGGTAGTGTTCACAAATCCCCATGCTTATGATAGGTTTCTGCATTTGCAAATTATTTCCAAATCTAAACCAGCTTGCTTTTGACAGTAGTGATACATCTTACTTCCTGGAATTATAGCAGCAGGGATAACAATTTAAAAATACTCAGCATTCATTTTAAAATTAGCAAAGGCTTTGGTGCTTTCTGAATTGAGTGTCCCAATAGTATCCCATGATACGTTTCTGTGTCATTCCTGCAAGCAGATAGGTGCAAGATGTGTTCATCGGTGTATATGGAACTTCTCACCAGAACAGCACAGGGGATTCTGCAGATCTGGGGCTGCAGTGGGAAAGAAGCAAGAGGCTGTGTGCTCTTCAGTCCATTCTGTTTACATACTGGGTTGGCTGCCAGTAATGAAGTGCAGAGAAATCCAATGGCATACAGGCACTGTGAACTAGCTCTCTGTCTGCTTGAGTGTGATTTGCTCCATTCACTGGTAAATGCCAAGGTGCTTTGCATAGAATGCATGTAATACTTTGGTTCAATAAGGGGGGTTCCTGCATTTTATGAAAGGGATGCAGTGACAATATTCAGGCCTACTGCTAAAGTTTTTCTTTGGTATTTGTCTTCTTTTTATTAAAAGGGCAAAGAAGGTGCTTTCATGGTTCGGAATTCCAGTCATGTGGGGAAGTACACAGTATCAGTGCTCTGCATGACCAGTAGGTGAGCGCGCACACACACACACACACACACACACACACACACACACACACACATATCTAAAACACATCCAGCACCTGCTTTATTGTGAAATTAAATACTGCATGGTTGTCCTCTCACCAGACATGAACTGTATGATGCAGAATTTTTATTCTGGTTCCTAATTATACCTGTTTGCACATGCAACAAATAAAAGCATCCATACACAGAAAACCAGTTCCATGGTTACTTTTCCATGTGCATTTTCAAAACAGTGGCTAAAGTTTTGGATCTTTGTAAACTGGGGACAACAGAACATGCAGGCAAAACTGTCTTAAGGAGATTGGTCCACAATATTGCTGCTTTAGGATGCCCTCCTCTATTTTATTACATTTGTCAGGATGGTGAATGTAATATTGTTGTGTGATTATTTTTTTTAGAGAGAAGAAAGGAACCGTTAAACATTATCATGTCCATGTAAACAATGCCAATGAGTTTTACCTGGCTGAGAATCACTGTTTTAGTTCTGTTCCCAGACTTATTCACTATCATCAACACAACTCAGCAGGTAATGTGACTGAGAGGCTTCAGTGTGCTGGTTGCAGTTCTGTGTGAGGGCCAAGGCTGTGAGCTGGGAAATCTTTTCAAACTTCACCTCACGGCAAACCCCTAGGCAGCCTCAGGCTAGACTCCCATTGGCAATAGTGGCAGCACTGTTTACTGATACAATTAGGCGCACGTTAAGGGACTACACGATTTCTGTTCTGTTATTCTACTCTTGATTAGATGGGCAGTGTTGGAATATTGGACAAGATTTGTTTTCTCTGTTGTTGTTCTCTATTGTTCCATTGGAATGACCAAATGCTTACAAAGACCACTGCTTCTCAGCCTTTTGGCAAAGGTCAGACATAGTATTAAATGCTTACAAAGGCTTACCTCAGGTAATGCTTACTACAGGTATAGTGAGGATTCTTGCACAGTGGACCTAAGTAGTCCAAGTTAGCTGTTTTCCCAGTAAAGCCAATTGTTTCTTTGCTCCTAAATAAATGTCCTCTGATTTATTACAGCTTTAGTTTTCTGAATATAATGAACTCTGTAAATATCTGTAAATATCTTTTCCCCTTGCAGGTAGATGAAGCTCATGCATATAAATAATAGTACATTGTTGCAGTTTTATGCCACTGCAATGTGTCCCATGCTGCAGAGTCTTCCTGTTCTTAAGCAGGGAGTGGACTGTAGCAGATGGACAGCGTTTCCCTCCACTTGCACCTGGCTGGATGACCTTGGGCAAGAGCTGTTTTTGAATAAGAGCAGTTTCTGTCAGGAGCTCTCTCAGCCCCACCTACCTCACAGGGTGTCTGTTGTGGGGGGGGGGGGAAGGGAAAGAAGTTTGTAAGCCGCTCTGAGATTCCTTTGGGTAGTGAAGGGCGAGGTATAAATCCAATCTCCTCCTCTTCTTCCTCTTCTTCCTCTTCTTCCTCTTCTTCTTCTTCTTCTTGCTCAGCATATAACATAGAGCTCTGTTACTGGTAGCAAGGGCCATGGAATGGTACTCATGTAACTATCTTAACAATTTCTTATCAAAAATAATTTTTTGGTAATTTTTCTGGGGCAAATGAGAAACCCATTATGTCTGTAATGATGACCCAGAAAAAGCATGTTCAGGGCTGTATTAATACATGCTGAAGACCTAAGCTATGAAAACTTTCAAAAGCCCCATGCATCTCCTCCAAAATTGTAATTTAGTATTTGGGGGGGGGGTGTTCTGTTGCCAGTGGGAGCCTACAGGAGCATGGGGGGGGGATAGGAGTCACCAGTATCACATGCACTGTGATGTCACTTCTAGGGAAAACTGGAAGTGATGTTGCATCACTCTAGTTAGTTAGTTTTATTATTACTGTCTTAAGACCAGCATATATCACTCTAGGAATTGCTGGAAACTCTATGGTAAAACCTTAATGCACAATGCTTGCATGTTTTTAAATTCTTTCTCTCACTGCTGGTTGGACTGGTGACAGGCAAAAGAGGTTGCTGATAGGCTTCTTGTGATCTGAGCCCCTAAACTGTAGCTTACTTAGCTTGCACAAAAGTCCAGCTCTGGATATGGTGAAGCTCTGATGAACTAAATCCATGTCACCAGATTTGGATCGTAGCAATTAATAACAGGCAAACTTGCCTTGTAGGTGTGGTGACCAGGCTTCGCCATGCAGTGTCGACAAAAACAAAGAAAGTTCCATCTGCAGCAATGTTGGGAAAAGGTATGGTTGTTTTTTTTGCTTTGCTTTGCTTTGCAAAAGTCTTATGTTTGACAAGAAATTATTTTGCTTCTAGTATCCCTCCTATTCAGTCATGAGCTATTACCAATTCTATCTGCCTTATTAGGATCCTGGGAGCTAAAGCCTGAGGATATTGTCTTGCTGAAAGAAATCGGGAGTGGTCAGTTTGGAGTGGTGCATATGGGGAAATGGAAAGGAAAATATGATGTTTCTGTTAAAATGATCAAGGAAGGATCAATGTCTGAAGATGAATTTATAGAAGAAGCTGAAACCATGATGTAAGAAACAGTTTTGATCATGTGATACCATGAAGGTGGGAGGAGAAAATGTACAGCTTAGGGGAAAAGTCATTTTTTTTCCAAGCACACAATTTGAATTCTGTTTGGAGATCATCAAGGACGGCATTTGATCTTTTGAACAAACCTAGACACACTAAGTAAGTGATAGGATGACCACTAGTACATATAGAAGTCATGCAATAATTGCAGTTGTATGTCATTATCATAGTCATAGCCAAGTTTGTTCTCCATTATCTGCACAGGCTAATAGTTGGCATTCTTTGCTGAAAAAAAAAATTGTTGTTATTATGTACTTCCACAAGCTTCTGAAAATGTGCATTAATTATGTATATGTGTTTTTTGGTCTGAGGATCAAGATAAGTTTCCATTGGCATTCTCCACAACTTTAATTTACTGTGTTTTTTTTAAAAAACTGAACCAACTGCTATTTTATTTTAGGAAGCTAAATCATCCCAAACTTGTTAAATTGTATGGTGTGTGCACAAAGACATATCCTATTTACATAGTGGCTGAATACATGGCTAATGGCTGCTTACTTAGCTACCTGAAAAACCATGGGAAAGAACTACATCCTTTTCAGCTTGTGGAGATGTGCTGCAATATTTGTGAAGCCATGGCTTTCCTTGAGAAGCATCATTTCATTCACCGAGATCTGGTAAGCAGGACTGGGGACGGCTTCCTTATTGTGAAATGTGGTCAGGAGCTCTCCGCTGGCTTACCTTCCTTTTACGCTGCTGGGCAAAGTGTCTTTGTGAAAGTGAGAAGAAGAGGAGGAGGCGATTGGGGTTATACCCTTGACCACCTGAAGGAGTCTCAAAACGGCTTACAATCCCTTTCCCTTCCCCTCCCCACAACAGACACCCTGTCAGGAAGGTGGGGCTGAGAGAGCTCTGAGAGAACTGCTCTTGAGAGAACAGCTCTCAGAGAACTTTGACTGGCCCAAGGTCAGCCAGCTGGCTTCACGTGGAGGAGTGGGGAATCAAACCCAGTTCTCCCAGATTAGAGTCTGCACGCTTAACCACTACACCAAACTGGCTCGATAGACAGCTGTTCTAGTCTCTGAGTGGGAAACATTTTATCAAATAATAAAGCATAGAAGGGGATTAATCACATTGGGACTGTGAAAAAGAGAGACCAAGGGTTAAGGCACATACATACAATTTTCCCAATCTGAAAGGAGCCAGGAAGGTGACATTTACCCTGTTGGTGTAATATACAGTTGCCCACATCAGCAGGGGTTTTTTTGTAGAAAAAGCCCAGCAGGAACTCATTAGCATAACAGGTCACACCCAACAGCAGAAATTCATTAGCATATTAGGCCACACCCCTAACAGCACAGCACATTAGCATATTAGGCCACACCCATGCCTCCCCTTGGCTTGCTTGGGTGCCCCACGGTTGCGTGGAGCCCGGGCAAGCCAGCCCTTGGACAGGCCAGGGGAGGCATTTAAATACCTCCTCGATCCTTCCAGGCCTGCCCGCCTTGGAGTCACCGGGGGGGGGTTCTCTCCAGGCCCCCCCCTGTAGCCACGCACGCAGAGGTTTTGGCTGTCGTGGGCGTAACCAACTCTGAAGCCAGCCGGAACTCCATTCCTGTGTGTTCCTGCCCAAAAATAGCTCTGCACATCAGTATCCTTGTTTCTCCAAAAGGGCAAATAGCTCCCTGGGACCATTTCAGACTGGAGAAAATGGAATAGGATAAGTATTAATCCCCCTATTCAGTACCATGGTCCCTATTTGAATTGAGTCTTGCATACCTGATTTTTAGCAGGAGTTCTGTTCAGGGAACTCCCAGCATCATGCCTGTCTGAGCTCTGAGATCGTCAGCCTAGTGTGACCAACTGTCTCAGCTTCTGAAGAAGTATTGTCTGAGTTCTGATCTAGTTATGCCCAGCCAGGACGTAATTAATGGAAGGATCTCTGTGTTGTCAGCCTTTCCAGAGAAGGGAGTACAAAATAAACTGGTTTCTATGGCTCTCCTACAAGGAACACTGAAAGGCACTGCAAAGAAAATTTTATGACAGCCCTTTGATGATTCTTGCAGATGCAAGGATTCTGAATGTAGTTAGGGGAACTTCTACAGTACTGTCCAACATCCTTCATGTGATGGAATAGTCCTTCATTGAGAATTATCAAGATATTACTTGCTTTGGAACATTCTGCGGCCGTCTTCCTACCTGATTGATAAACAGGTCCAGGAAGGGTACAAGTTGCAAAAAAATTGCACATCTCTTCCCTAACGAAGTGAGAAAATATGACTTTTTTATTTAAATATGGGTATGATAAAATGTATAGACTTGACCACTATGGCATAAATAAAATAACTCATCTTGTGTCATTGGTAGAATTGATACTGAGGAGACTGAACGTCTGGCATCTTTGTAAAGGTTACAGTAGGCAGAAGCTTTATAGCAATCCACATAAACTTTGATGTTTCCTGTTGTCTCTTCCCAAGCATAGATGGAAATATATGTGTTTCCTCCAGTGCTATTTTGTGGACTCTGTAATTCATTATCAATATTTCATTTGTAGCTTTAGTTACTGAATTAAGCCAAAGTTCAGAAAATCCCTTAATAAGGGCACAGATCTTTCTACCCTCAAGTGAATTTATTTGCTGCAATAATGTTAGCATACTTGCCACAGTCCGGCACACAATTAGATGTGCTTATGCCTCTGTGGTTTTAAGCATGCTTAACTATGATCTAGATTGCTCTCCTGTAATAATTTCTTCTCACCAATGAAATCTGTATGCCTGAAAACTAGATGTGTCATTCTGACCATACATCTCTTTAAGCACATATCTTTTTAAGCAAACCTATTTCTCATGAGTAGTGGAAAATAACCCATCTTTGTCTCAAGTCTTTCGCTTTGGAGATTAATTGTACTTCTTGTATTTTTCCCCCCACAAAGGCTGCTAGGAATTGCTTAGTTGATAGTGATCTAACAGTGAAGGTGTCTGACTTTGGGATGGCACGGTAAGCTTCTGTTGAAATCTTTTAACAGCAAGGATTGGGGGGGGGGACACACCCAAACATTAGAAAACAAGGTCTTCTGTCCTCTGTTCTTGACCACTATGGCATAAATAAAATAACTCATCTTGTGTCATTGGTAGAATTGATACTGAGGAGACTGAACGTCTGGCATCTTTGTAAAGGTTACAGTAGGCAGAAGGCAAATATAATAGAGATGAGCGCCAGCGCTGCCTTGGTTACATTTGAACCTGCCTCTATTGGATTCAGACCTCGGGTTAAGCATGTATTCACCATGTGCTATAGAGAAATGTACTTTCTGTCAAGCTTTGGGTTTAGGGTTCTCAGGTCCCTCCTGGCAACTGGTGAGGGATGGGGGGGGACTTACCAGAAGCAGCAGGGAGGTCCAGATGACGTCACCAGCAATGTCACTATGTCACTTCTGGCATGCACCGGAAGTGACATCATCACACTGCACCACTGCAGCAATGTTCTAGTATTTGGGTGAAAAATCTATGGTAAAAATGCATCCTACCATAGAGTTTTTGCCCAAATACCATAGTGTTACCTGGACATTGCTGGCATGATGACATCATTTCCTGTGCACACCAGAAATGACATTGCCACAACACTGGCAAAGTCAGCTGGGCCTTCCTCTTTCTCCTGGTAAGTCCTCCCTGGCCAGCTGATTGGCAGTGGGGGGCAGGGTCTGGTGGCAGGGGACTCCCACCAACACTAGGGGGGTGCAAACTTATCTGAGTTCAGGCCTGTAACTACAGTTGGGCATTTGGGGGCTGTGCCCCTGACTCACCTCAAATGCCCCTTCAAATGCCCCCAACGCAGTCCCAGATCAAGAGGCTCCCTACCCCCTGTGATTTGAGCTGATTCAGAGGCTGCTGCAGTGCCACTGGAGGGGGCTCTGATTCGGCCACCAGGGAGGCAGGTGGGAGAGGCATCAAAGGGGCACCAGCCAGGCCAGGCAGTGTGTCCTGGTTTCTCTCTCACTGAGGGATGCCCCTCTGCTGAAGCCACCCTCTTCCCTTCAGGCAGGATATAAAACTGAGTGCTCCCCTTTTTCACCTCACCGACCTCCACTGCCCTGCCTGTGCCCCCCTCCCTGTGCGGAGCTCCAGCGAGGAAACTTTGCCAATTGGGCGGGCAGCACAGGAGGCAGGCAGTGCTTCAACCTTGCCAGGCCAGCCCCTCGCCTTCCTTCCATCCTTCCACTGCACAGCCAGCGCCGGCCACTACCGGCAGGCCACCCTTTCTGGCATGGCGTCAAGCAGCTTTCAGGGGCCTGCCTGCACCATGAGAGGCTTCTGAAGGTGAACAGGGCGTGAGCTAGTGGAGTGCGCTATGCCTTGAGGAGCCTTGGGCTGGGCCAGCTCTGCTCAGCACTTCTGGTATGTGTCCCAATGCTCCTGCCTTCCCTTCCGTCCTTCCCAGCCCACTGCCAGCCCAGACGGCCTTGCAAAGCCAGTGGTTGCCTCCTGCTACCCGGCGCCACCAACGATGACAGCGACAAGCTAGAGGGGGCGGGCAGGCTGGTTGGTGGTGCCCCAGCAAAGGGGAAGGATTAATTAAATTAGCCAGTGCCCCCCCCAAGAAATTAAAATGCCCCCCAACTTAAAAAATTCATGGCTATGGGCCTGTCTGGGCTAGTCTCTGCATCACAATCATAATCAGCTAGGTGCAGGGCATTTGACAGAACAGCTATGTAGCGACTGCTCCATGTCATGACCATGGTCTTACGTAAAGCAGTTTACCAGATCTCTTGAAAAGTGTCCATTCCACCATTAGACTTCCTACCAATTCTAAGAAGCAAATATATTCTATATGAAAAAACCAGCAAATCCGCAAATATATTCAATGTGAAAGATGAGCTTCAGTATGTGAAAAATCAGCTTCAGTCTGACCTAAGTTTTGGTAATACATAGGAATTTCAGTTTGATGTACAGTAGTTTGATGTTAACATTACTCATCTTGGCAAACCTGAATGTAGGATTAATGTAGCAGTTGGATAAGTCTTGCAATTAGTCTGATAGCCTCGATACTGATTCTTGCCTTGTAGATACGTGCTGGATGACGAGTATGTCAGTTCTTTAGGAACTAAATTCCCAGTGAAGTGGTCTGCACCAGAGGTTTTTCACTATACCAAATTCAGCAGCAAGTCTGACGTGTGGGCTTTTGGTGAGTAAGTAAGATAGCGACTGGGAAGATGAAGGGTAAAGCAGTGAAAACAGCATTAATGACATAGGTTGGCGACGCTGCAGGACCCCCCTCCCCCGGGGCTCTTCTCTTCCGAAGGCCGAGCGGTGTCCGGGTGCTGCCCTCGAGGAAGGAGCTCCTGCCTGCTCTCTCCGGGAGAGGAAGAAACACGCTCTTCTCTGCCTCCGGTTTTGGAATGCAGAACCCCCCACCCTGTCATCCAGCGGGTGCAAGGAGAGGAGGAGGCGGGGGGGGGGAATCAAACCCTGTCCTCCCAGAGCAGAGTCCACGCACTTAACCGCCGCGCCCGACAGCAAATGGTCAGAAACTGACACTGGTTGGACCCAGAGAGGGCTCACAATGTAGTAGAAAGTGCATCTAAATCATTTTCATTTAAAAAATTTAGACTTGTTCAGGAGCCATTCTTGATTAATTGTGTCATGACAGTGGAATTGCTAAGCTAGTTGAATTATTGTTCATGGCTGTATTTGTACGGGTATAGGAGAAACGCCAGCCCTCATTACACTGAAAGGCTGTTAGTCGTCATGATTTTTATGCAAAAATATCTTTGTTGCTGAACAGGCAACTCCGCCCCTCACTGAAGAAGAGATGCAAAAAACCATGGACTGATGCTGACCAAACCAACAGAATTGTGGGTGGGTGGTGGGGTGCAATAGGTCTATGTAACATGGACAAAATTTCTGAATTTCATTTTAACAGCAAACTGGCAGTTCCTATGTTCCTATTAATCTCATTTGATTTCCAATTATGTCCTAAATAAATAGTCCTTCCACACTGGTAAAGCTTATGTTGAAACACCTTACTAAATAGCAGTGTGAATTAAGAACTAACCTCTCATTGCTTTACACCATGATGAATGCTTTAAAAATACATGCATAAAAAGGATGCAGCCAGATGATTTATTTTAAGATGTTTGTAGAAGCACCCAAAAGAGAGCAAAAACTGGCCTCTCAGAAGAGGTATAAGCTGGTATGACTTTGTTTCAGCCACTGATGTGTATTCTGCCAGCCATTTAGAGTCTGTGATAGTTCCTTTGTAGTTTGGGAGTATCAACAGCTTTGATTCAGTGTGCCTAATGGCAGAACTATACATTTAACTGTTTTCCTTCACCCTATTTTCTCGATGAAAATAGCTACACCCAAGATGGGGAAAATTTATATTGAATGCCAGGTGAGTGACATGATTTTGGCAAAATATATATCACAGAACCTGAGCATTTTTAATGTGATTGACTTAAATGGTATTTTTAAATGGTATGGATATGTTTCTTAAAGTACTGAGCTCTTATTGTATGGTCCCTTATATAAATCATTCTACAATTTCTTTCATTCTTGGGTGTGTGTGTGTGTGTTTTGGTGGGTTTTTTTTTTAAAAGGAATAGCACAACTTTTATGCTTGGAATACTCACATAGTTTTTTTAACATCTTGTCTTTCACCACTGTGGGTATATCTACAGGAATTTTAATGTGGGAGGTGTTCTCTTTGGGGAAACAACCCTATGAGCGGTGTGATAATACACAAGTGATTGAGAAGATTACCCATGGCTATCGACTTTATCGTCCACAATTGGCTTCTGAGGCAGTTTACCAAATAATGTACAGCTGCTGGCATGAGGTGGGTTTACTAGTTTTGTTGTTGTCGTTCAGTCACACAGTGGAGTCCAACTCTTCGCAACCCCATGAACCGCATCACGGCAGGCCCTCCTGTTTTCCTTTGTGCTCCGGAGTTTGCTTAATCTCATGTTCATTGCATCGATAACAGTGTTCAACCATCTCATCCTTTGCCATCCCCTTCTTCTTTGACCTTCAGTCTTTCCCAGCATCAGAGTCTTCTCCAGTGAGTGCTCCCTTCTCATTTGGTGGCCAAAGTATTTGAGCTTCAGCTTCAGTATCTGGCCTTCCAGGGAACAGTCAGGGTTGATTTATTTTAGGATTGACTGTTTCGATCTCCTTTTGCTAGTTTACTTAAGGCTAAAAAATGGCCCATTGCTCTGATACAGTGAATTTTTCCCGGTAAACATACAAACAAGACATAAAGCTATACTATACTTAGTCAGTTATAATCCATGTAACTCAGTATTGTCTACCTCAATGGGCAGTGGCTCTCTGTGGCCTTGAATAAAGAAAGACTTTTCCTGTCATCTGCTGAGATCTTTTAACTGTAGGTGCCAAGATTTGAGCCTGGAGCCTCTCTGCATGCAAAGCCTCTGTTTTATCATTGAGGTTCAGCCTCTCCTGTTAGAGATGTAGGGGAACTACTTTCTTCATTCATTTCAATGGATGAGGAAACTCCACATGCATTTCAATGGATGAGGAAACTCTGTACATGCATGTGCAGAACTTTCCCTTCCCTTGCAGAAGAGAAGCCTCATGGAGTTATGTCATGTACCCATTGCAGCACATTAATGGTTCTGGATTGGGGTGTCCCACTTCACTATCTCTAAGAATGACATTTAAACCTGAACCTTTAAAGACCTTTCACACCAAGATCTCATAAAATATGGAGCCTATATTGGTCACTAGGTAAAGTAATTGTAATTCTGAGGGGTATAGCTCAGCGGTACAGCATTCACATGTGTTGCACACAAAATGTCTGATTTTGTTCTCTGAGACCTCCAGTTAAAGGCTTTTATGGTACTAGGACTGGGAAAGACTTTTCTCTGGCTGATAGCTTGGAGAACCACTGCCAGTCAGAGCAAATGGTGCTAGACTTCGATGGACCAATACTGTGAAGCCATACGAGGCAACTTCATATGTTCATATGGAGCCTGTTTACAGCAAAATTGTCAGAATATAAAACAACTCTGTCTGTGGCTCAGAATGTTCACATATAAGCAGTACAACGATTTTGTTGTTTTCTCTGTTTCATACAGTTGCCTGAAAAACGTCCCACATTTCATCATCTGCTTTCCCTCATGGAACCACACAGAGAAGATGACCACCCTTGAAGAAAAAGCAGTAGTGAGAATAAACTGATGAACCCGCCTCTTTCTTGTAGGAACTTTAGTTCTACTGTCTTTCCTAAGATCTGTTTTTGAATTTTTTAATACATTTGATTTGTGTAGGAACGTAAATGTAGACTGTACAATAAAGGAAAAATAAAGCTCTTTAAATTTTGGTCATGTGTATTTCAAAAGACTAGGGATCCTAATACATTATGACCCTGTGAGGCAAGGCACCTTAATTTCCCTCAAGGCTTAAGGTGATTATTAGCAGGCCTGCTCCAGCTCACAGCTGTCCATGGTTTAGGCCTTCCTGCAGATACCATCCTTATCTCTTTCAAGGCTGGATTCAAGAATGTGGTAATTGGCAGATTGTGAGAACCTGTGCTCACTTGTGTAACCAGATGGGAGGGGGAATTAGGAGTGAATGTTAACATCTTCTGGAAAGTTCTATCAAGGGAGATTCCTGATTGGATCCAAGAAACCACCTCGTGCCCCAGGGCAAAAAGAAGGCTATAGGAAAGAGGGAAGCCATGCTAACTTTATGCTTGTGCTATGCTAGTATGCTTTGATATGCTACATCATGTTTGACTGCATTATATAGAATGCTTTAGGCTACAGCTTGGATTCCTATGCTACAAGTATGTGCCATCTATACCAGGTTCTAAATGTATTAGATAGAAAGGTTAGCCTTTTTATTTCTCTGTTGCTAAGCTATAGAGACTTTACTGCATAGTGATATTCTTTTTTAAACTTCTGAATAAACCTTTATATATTTTTACAAAGGTCTGCTTTATTTGTGTGCATTTAACCTGCAGTTTGCACATATCTAGGAGCTGCGGTGGCTCAAGTGGTTAAGATGCTGAACTGCAGGCTGTGGAAGGTCGGTAGTTCAGCAGTTCGAGACCTGAGTGTGCCGCATGATGGAGTGAGCTCCCGTCTCTAGTTCCAGCTCCTGCCAACCTAGCAGTTCGAAAGCAAGAAATTGCAAGTAGATAAATAGGTACCACTTCGGTGGGAAGGTAACAGCATTCCGTGCGCCTTGGTGTTTAGTCATGCTGGCCACATGACCACAGAAATGTCTTCGGACAGCGCTGGCTCTTCGGCTTTGAAATGGAGATGAGCACCGCAACCCTAGAGTCGGATTTGACTGGCTTTCGAGCAAGGGAACCTTTACCTTTACCTTTTTGCACATATCTCAGTCTGATTTGAATGCTGTAACACTGTTGGCTTTTTTAAAAGATCAGATAGATTGATATTGCACAGGTCTGTGGGTAGGGAAAAGCTCTAAGATACAATCCTTTCATACCAGAGAGATTTCATACTGTATTGCTTATGTTTTCATACTGTATTATTTGTATTCCTTGGAGATAGATCAAGATGGGTAGCCATGTTAGTCTGTCTGTAGCAGTAGAAAACACATATTTTGCCACATATTATGTTAGCCTTCAAGGTGCTACTGAACTCTTGCTCTATTCTGTTTGTATTCCTGGATGCAATGGCTGGGTTACATATTTTATCTGATTTGTGGAGTAGGTGGTCAGTGAATACTAGCACCCATCCAGAAAACCATCAGGTCAGCAGAAGGCTGTGTTGTATTCACAGGCTGCGGTCACACCGAGCATTAGCCATGCTACTGAGACGGATGATAGGTGGATTTTCTGGGCGCGATCACTCCGCAACATCTGGGAAGCGTAGAGCTCCCATGGCGAACCCGAGGCTTCCCGCCGAAGATGCAGGGTTAAAAACTAGTACCTCCAAGATACTAGTTTCTGGAAACCGCGGGGCAAGGGCTGGCGTCTGATTGCGTTTCCGTGGCATCCGGCGCCCGCCCATGTCCTGTCGCAAACAGGTTTTTTTCCCCCAAGTCTCCACAGGATGCGCACAAGCACCCAACAGCACATGCACACGAAGAGGAAAGTGAAAGTTCCATTGCTCCGCAGAATCGCGCATGCCGTTGGTGAGATCGCGCCACACCACTTCTTTGCCGCGCTGCAGGATCGTCGTGTGATCGCCACCTCGCCCCTACCCACAGGACCTCGACGGGACGTGTGATCGGGCGGCCGCACGTTATTTTGCTCTGGGCCAAACTGCCACGCTTCCCCCCCACATTTTAGTAATCAGAAGTGGAGAGCACATTCTTTCACAGTGCCAAACCAGACTCACATAGGCCGTGATATGGGTGAAAGGAACCAATATATCCAGATCAGACTGCCTTTTCTCCTTTTTACCACCCCAACAGCTGATCAGCCTGAAGCCCCTCAAAGTCCTCAACTGCTTTGCCATGGACAAAACCAAATCATACTGGTATGCCTTCCTCTGCAGAGATATCTTGGTACAGCGATTACATGCATAGATCCCTATGGGTGGATTGGAATGTAGCTGAGGAGAAATCCATTTTAGGAAAAAAAAATCAGTATCCATGCTGGATATTAGACAAAATGTATATTCATGACTACAGGTTTTCAATACCACTTTCTCAAAGGAGAGAGGAATGAACAAAATACAGAAGATACAATCAAATGGATTTAAGAAGCAACTTTCCTCATGAGAAGTGGATTACTTAGATATGACATCTGTGATTAGAATCCCCTCCCTTTAAAAAACAACAATTCAAAACAGTGACTGGAGGGGGGGAAGAGTCAAATCAGACAAACAGTGATGGGGGCTTAAATTTCCACCGGCGTCATTTTTCCAGCCTGTCAATGCAATGCTATGCAGAGCTATTCCAGAGTTATTAGACTGGAGTAACTCTACATAAGCTTGCACTGTAAATCACATGCTAACTGACTTAAAAGGATGCAACTCTGCTTATGATTGCTCTGTGAAAAGTAGTTTGTATTGAGTTGCCAACTTTCAGTGGGGCCTGGAGATCTCCTAGGATTACAACTGATCTCCGGACTACAAAGATCAGTTCCCCTGGAGAAAATGGCTGCTTGGGAGGGTGAGGTCTATGGCACTATAACCTGCTGAGGTCCCTCCCTTCCCTAATGTCTGTCCTCCTCAGACTCAATCTCCCAGATATCCAGGAATTTCCCAACACTGGGTTGCCAATCCTGAATGTATATAGCAGTAACATGTAGTTAAATGCCATCTGCTTGAACAGGCATCTGTCAGAGACTTGTTGCTAAATATGTCTCATCTACTGTCTGCCATTAGAAATTGTTATCCAAAGCCTGTTAGTACTTGAAAGATCTTGAGATGTGAGACTTCCCAGGAGAAAAGGAAACTGACTTCTTTTTAACCTACATCATTGGGAAAATATTTCAGCCATTATTTTTTTCAAATTGATATCAGTAGTCATCAACATCACATAAGAGGAGAAAAAATACTATTACAATTTGAAAAAGAGACACCAAATTGACTTTGACATAGACGTAACACCTGCGGAGGCAGGGATTGTCTTTGAAAGAGCAGCATTTATTTTTAAACAGGATTCAGTCGAGGCTGTTTAGAGCAAAAGTTTATGGTGAGCATGTAACTTCAACCCAGAAGAAGGAATGGCAGGGCTGTTGGACTGAAATATTCCCAAATTCCTCTAGTTACCCCTTTATAAGGGGCAAGTTATGACGTTCCCATTGGGATGACTATATGTAATTCAGCAAGGGAGATTGTCTGAGAACACCAAGTTCCGTGGATGATTATTGTTCTGAATCACAACGAATGCAGAAAAACAGGTTTTCTGGATACTAGAGGTGAATTCCTGCAACAAGCAGTAAAAGCAATATCTGTGGTACCTGACCTTGGATTGGGTAGGGGACTACCCATCCACTGCTGAATAAATGGTTGACCCTATCATTTTTTAGAGCGTCTGTCACCTATTCCAAAGTTGAAAGGGACTGAAGGGTAACTGTTTGGTTCGGGCCACTTTGCTCAACACATGGTAAAAGTAACTGGTGCTGTTAAACATTCCCTGTCTGTTTTACAGCTAAGTGCACATAACATGTATAGCAGTGCCCTGGAAGTCCCTTCCGCTAAACATAGGGCCTTAGAATTGGTCCCCTTTTTATATAATATTGTTGGCACTAACATGCAATCATAAATAAGGGATATTAATTAGCTTTCTGTTTTAGAATGCTGATGAGCACTCATCATCTTGCAGATAATTTAGATTATTTTGTCCACCGTTGTCATCATCCTTTGCTCCACTGTTGTCATGACAGTTCGCTATTGTTGTTTGGGATAACTCATTTTCAGTTGCCTTTCTTTTCCTGAAAGCAATATATTTATTATTACATGGAAAATAGCAGAAAGTCATGGTCATGTGCATTCACGGTGATCCAAACCCTCTGTTTTTAATAGAAAGAAACTATCATAGTAGTAATATGAGCCTTATGTGTATTGACATCAAATTATATATCACATTCATTTGTTAGGATTATTAAGTCAATGGGTTGTATCCAATGACTTTGATCTGATGACTGTGGAGGTTTCCACTGGCAGAAGAAGCGCCATACACTGACAGAAAGGTTTTTCCACTGAAGAAAAACACCATCAGCACTATGGTGATAAATACATATGAAATGAAAACAACGAACTTGAGTTTGCTGTACTGTAGTTAGGGATCACAGTTGTGTTATCTTAATATTTTCTGCACATTTTACACTGTGTAAAATGAATCTGATCAGTTTAAGAAGAATGCACTATTTATAAAATGTCACTTACTTTTTCCGGTTTCTTTGTCCAGTGATGATCAAGACAATCATCGCAACTACGACAATGCCCATGACAATTCCAAATAATATCAGCCAGACAGTGACTGGAGGTGTGTAAGGTGGTTCCAGTGTTGGAGCAATGCCAATAAACTCTAGAGTTTGGTCATCCAGTTGGAAAATTTCATTGATGCGGCCGCGTGATATTCTGCCAGTAAAGGGAAATCCATGTAAATATTTCCCGCATTTCTGCTATAATATTTAATGGAATTCTGTGCTGTTAGTATAATATAATGAAGCGATCAGCATATCAAATGGAAACGAACAACATTCATTTACAGCCTGCTTGTGGGGAGGGCGGGGTATAAATGTCATAAAATAAATAAAATAAATAATACATGCTTCCAATATAATTCACACTACCACCTTGTGATCCAAAATTTCACCTGATTGCTTCCTCCACTTCAGATCTGGGAACAATGTCTGAGTCATTATTAGGCATGGTGACAATAAACTGGAAGGAGATTCTTGGTGTCACATCACCGACATGAATATTTACACTTCTGATGGAGAGAAAAAACCAGAAGAAATTATCTTTACTAAATACATGTGTTCATACAGTCATATCAATGAACATTATTTCCCAAAATGCCATCAAAGATATTTGTAAACGAAATGTGTGTGTATTGTATGCAGTGACTAACTGCTATTCTGACATACATAGCAGAACTTCTACAAAAGTATTCAGTTAGCTGCCAGCTGAAATCGACATATTTAATATCCTATGAAACATCCCACTGAAGTTTCTAACTTTATATTTTATTGCATGTGGCAAAATGGTCATACAGCCATGTTCCTGGTTTATCTATTCATCTGGGAATTGGTAGCACTATTTCTAGGCAACAAAGCCTCCATACCCACAGGCAGTGTTCCCTCTAAGCTGAGTTAGTGTGAGCTAGCTCAGTTTTTTAGCCTCTGGCTCACACACGTTTGTCTCAGCTCAGGGAGGATGGCTTCAAAGCACACTAATTTATGCAGCAGCCAACTCACCTGCTCATAACTTTAATGCTAGTAGCTCACAAAGTAGAATTTTTGCTCACAGGGCTCCATAGCTTAGAGGGGACATTGCCCACAGGTATACCAGTTTGACTCAATTCCATTAGGAGTTCATCTATCGCTACTTTGGAATAGGGATGCTAGAAATACAAGTGTTCCCATTTTACATCCATGAAATGGTAGAAGGTCTCTCCCCCTCTATCTACATAACATGCACCTAGATGAGCTTTCTTCTTCTGAAATTATCATTGGTGGGCTGAAGTGTAGGGGAAGTAGTTTATTTGAAATAGTAGTTGTTATTACAACCCACATCAGGATCCTCACTCTTCCCTCTCCTCTGTCATTTGCTTCCAGACAAGTGGCCAGAACATCTGAGTTGCCCAGAAGGATGCTTGAGTTTGCAGGAAACTCATGACCCTCAAGAGATTCTTCCCTGTTTTCTCCTAAATCTTTTTTTTTGGGGGGGGGGGGGTGTCACAGCAGAGAACCTTCCACTACCCTGACTTTAAATTACTCTTCTGAAACCTTCCTGATGCTCAGAGTCACCAAGAAGGGAGATGTGTGTAGCTTTACCAAATAACCTGGCAAATGCAGTTTCATACAGTAGTATCAATGTCCCCTTCATGACAGCACAGTCTAATTGTCTCTGCTCTCTCACAAATAAAAGTATAGGTGGTTCTTGGTTTTTTCCTGAGTGCACCAAATGGGACTTTATAGCTGTTTTCAGAATTCTCTGTGGGTTTTCTTTGAAGGCAGTTGCCCCTCATTCACACAGATGCAATCACATTATTTTGGAAAAATGATAGTCTCTTTTTTGTAATAAACTCACATACCACTAATCCTCAGCCAATATAACTGAAGAGGCCACTTACCGAAATTCTACTGTTTCATTTTTCTTCTCCGAAAAGTACTTTCTCATGGCATAGGCAATTGTTGCCGTGAATAAATACATTTCATTTTCATTCCATTTGTACTGTCAATTTAAAATGAGACTCAGTCAGACTGATAAATACATTCTTAGATTTGGTCACTTAGAAGTACTTCAAGGAAACAGAATAATATGAGGGAAGCATCAACCCCCCCCCACCCCAGGTTGTATTGTATCAGAGCAACAGTAATGGCAGCTCTTTTCACAGGAGAAGACTTTCCCACATCCTGTCCTACTATTACAGCCTATTGTGACCCCCAAAATATTCAGAGGACTCCTCCCCCCAGGAACAGGAGTGAGCATGATGTGGGGGTCACTGTAAAAAAAAGTCCATTAAAAAGGTAAAGGTTCCCTTGCTCGAAAGCCAGTCGAGTCCGACTCTAGGGTTGCGGTGCTCATCTCCGTTTCAAAGCCGAGGAGCCAGCGCTGTCCGAAGAAGTTTCTGTGGTCATGTGGTCGGCATGACTAAACACCAAGGCGCACGGAACGCTGTTACCTTCCCACCGAAGTGGTACCTATTTATCTACTTGCAATTTCTTGCTTTCAAACTGCTAGGTTGGCAGGAGCTGGAACTAGAGACGGGAGCTCACTCCGTCATGCGGCACCCGGATATCGAACTGCTGAACTACTGACCTTCCACAGCCTGCAGTTCAGCGTCTTAACCACTTGGTTACAGCCTAATATGTATTTGGTTTTCAGTCAAAAAATGGAATGTAAGACTGATTTCAGATGCTATATATGGAAATATATAAAAGGTAAAATGAAGGACCGGAGCTAAGTCCACTTATCTAAACTCATCTACATCATGCTTACAGCATATTTGTACTGGGCTGATTGCTTCTGGGGGCATCCCCACTTTTAACTTTTGCATTAGCACATGGTCAGACTGTCAGAGAACAGATATATAACACAGGCACTGAGGCATCGTTGTTACTTATGACATGCTCTTTGGCATATACACTGTCATGCCATATTGCCAGACAGAGCATGTCTCTGGGAAGGCAGAATATAAATATCTTAAATAACTAAACAAGTTTTCTGGTGCTGTCTACTTAAGTTAACTATAGATTTTTATTATAGGATGGTGGATCTTTTTAAACATACAGATATATTTGAAGTACAGTTATGTTGGGTGTATTGGTCACAGTGTCAGACTAGGATCTGAAAGTGTGTGTGTGTCGCCAACATGGTGACCCCATAGGGTTTTCAGGGCACGGGACATTCAGAGGTGGTTTGCCATTGCTTGTCTCTGTGCAGTGATCCTGGAATTCCTTGGTAGTCTTTCATCCAAATACTAACCATGGCCAACCCTGCTTAGCTTCCAAGATCTGATGAGACTGGACTAGCATGGGCCATTCAAGTCAAGTCAGATATGTAATATCCAGGTTCAAGTTGTTATTCTGCCATGAAGTTTAATGGGTGACTATGGGCCAGTCACTGTGTCTCACACTACCTACTGCATAGAGTTATTGTGAGGAAAAATAATGTACACCACCATGAACACCTTTGCAGGAAAGGTAGGATAATAATATACCAAATAAATAAAGAAGCCTTAAAAGAAGAGCAAAAGAGAGAAAGCAAGACAAGCTCTCTCCACTAGCTGGCGATATTTACCATCCCACTCTATTTCAAAATATATTTCTTCAGAATGAATGCATTATAATAATAAAGACTGGAAAAAACATTCTAAATATTGTTATTGTTATTATCAATGTTTTAATCATTTTAAATTTGCCTTCCTTCCTTCCTTCATTCGTTCGTTCTTTCTTTTGCTGTATGTAAAATTCAGTCTTGATCTCTCCTGGGTCAGAATTTGATTTCTCCCTGTACCTGCTTAATCATTCATCTGCTTAATCATTCATTTTAAGTCCATATCCAGTATATCTATCAAGTTTCTATATATGTTGCGCTTGTACTTCAAATTCCAACAGAGAACTATGTAAAAGGAGGTATTTACAGAGGGCAAAATGGATGGGCAAGATCTGTGAAAATGTGGTTCATTTCGGTTCATGGTTCGTAGTGTGCCCAGTTTGGAAACTATGAACAGTCATGAACTTCTAACGGCCAAACAAACCGGTTTGGTTGAGGGTCATTATATGGTAGAACCCCCCCCCCCCCATGCGCTCAAGACACCAAACTCACAGGGGATCTCCAGCTGACTCTCCTCTACCTGCCCTCCAAGTTTGCTGATAGGATTTATGGGGTCCCCCCCCCCAAGAAGGTGCTCCATCCTCCATTGTTTCCAATGGATTAAGGTCAAGCTAGAGAATCTCTATGTAGAAACTAAAGGTGGGGAGAATTTTTGAAAGCCCAGCAGAACCACTGCAATGTACTAGTCCCCAGCAGAGGGATGTACTAAAAGGAATTACAGGATTACCCATTGAAAACAACGGGAGAGGCTTGAAGGCAGGGCCATAGCCAATGGTGGGGCTTTAGGGGCTCAGCCCCTATCAATTAGGGGGTGAGACCCAGTGCCAGCAAGTCCCCAGAGGGCCCCCCAGTGATTTGAAAAATATTACTCTGAATTTAAGTTCTGCCACACCATGCCGCCGATGCACTGGCCTGAAGCCGGCTGCTGACCCCTTTTTCTTTCTAGCTCGCCCTGCAAGAAAGGTACCGCGCTTATGTTCCTTAGAGAGGTGGGGGTGGGTGAACGGCTGGCAGTCACAAGCAAGGTCAGCAAGGGAAGAGCCACAAGGGAGGGAGAAGTGGAGCCCCAAACTTCTGCTTCTGAGTGATGCTTTAAAAGGGGGGGGCAGGGTGGATGCAGTTCCAGGCATGGAAACTTAAGAACCTTTATCCCCCTCTCACACTTTCTTCAGCCTTTTGCCTTGTGCCATGAGAGACTCTGGGAGAAGCGAGCAGGGACCAGGAAGGGGGATTTCTTCTTGCTTTTTGAGTCTGAGTTGCCACCCTCCTTTTCTTCCCCCTCCTCTTTTCCTCCTCTGCCTGCTCTCATCACTTGCCCAGAGCAGAAACAGCAATGGCGGCAGAAGCAGCAGGCAGTGTGTGAATGTTGGCAGCTGAGCACCTCAGTTCAGTCATGCTCTGTAGCCTCCTTTCCTCCCACTCTTGCAGATTGTGTGAGTGGAAATGGCAGTGGCGGCAGCAGCCTTCTTTCCATGGAAGAGACTCTCAGCAGCTACTGCTTTATTTTTATTTTATTATTTTTGTGGCATTGTGCCCCCCCCCCCCAGTGCCCTTCACCAAAAATATTCTGGCTATGGGGCTGCTTGAAGGCCCATTGGAGATAATGGGAGCCAGGAATGCTGATTGACTTCCATGGGCTCCACTGCAATATATTATAGCACAAAAGGGTTGCAATTAAAATGTGGAGTGGATTGTCAGTGTCTCTGGGCCCAGATAAACTGCTCTGGGTCTGGAATAACTGGTCCCAGAGTGAAAGATGATCCCCAGAAATAGAATTAGTGCTCTGTCTGGGACTGGAATGACAGCCTCCCAAGTAGAATAATGGCCCCAGGGAGTAGCAGAATTATTTGCACCACTGAAAGGTGTCCCGAACTCCTGGAGTCATCTAGGGCCTCATGCCACTCAAGAAAATAGAAAAGGGGCAGGTCCATGGTCCCCACACTCTCCTCCTCCTATTGATTTGACACTTCTCTTGGTTCATGCCATAGAATCTCCTTTTGTTTCTCCCAGAGCCCCTCTCTAGACCCTCTGGCTTCTGTTTCTCCCTTCCCTATTTGTCCATCTCTAGGGTTGCCAACTCTGGATTGGGAAATATCTGGATAGGGTTGCCAAGTGTATTTTCGCCGGGAGCAGGGGGCTCCCGGCCGACGTCTGTTGCGCGCGCGCACTGGGGGCCATAGAATTTTCCCTTGGATGGCCGTGGCCCCGCCCCCAGCATGCCCAGCGTGGTCACGTCACTTCTGGGTGATGCACACGTCGGGGAGGAGTTCCCCCGGGGCCCGATCCAGCGGCGGCGGGGAATGGGCCTCTGGGGCGGGGGTTTCCCCACCCCCCAAGGGGACTTGGGAAGCCTATATCTGGAGATTTGGGGGTGCACAAGGAGACAAAGGGTAACAAAGATTAACTTAGCTAATGGGATATTTTTGTTTTAATTCTTAAGGGTATATCAAATAAGATTTGCTGGATCAGTGCATTTAAGAAGGTTCCTCCACTTTGCTCTTGCTGTTTGGACCTTGTGACTGGCTTCTCTGTGTCATGTATGCTTCTGCTTGGATTTTCACTGGCACTGTCTATTTGAACTCATGGTCTTTAGCAACACTGGGATTTTACAAGATCAGAAGTGAAGCATAAGTATTTCAGTAAATAAATACATTAGTTGTATGTCAATCACCACTAGATAACAAGGGCAGTGACTCAGAACAGGATGTTCCGATGGTACATACAGTACAAATATACAAGAACCAGTGCTACAGCTCACTGAAGATGAGAGCTAAAAGCATATCCCAAGCCTGAAAAGACTTCTATGCAAGCTAGGCCCATTGGCTTTGATGGAATTTACATCCTAAAATGACTGTTTAGCAATTCACTATTACATTCCTGAGAAAAAGAAATAAGATTGGCTTAAATTGAGATTATGGAGAGTGGTTCCAGGCATTCAGAACAAGCAGAGAAGAAACTGTGCTTCCTCTTCCATTGCTTGTTTGAAATGTCTGGAGTTATATGGAGAAGTGCATGTGCTTCAAAAGGATTGACAGCATCTCCCCACAGGGAAGGAACGAGCTTCAATATCAGCACAAAAAGAATTACATCTTTTTTTCTCCCGAAGTGCTTTTCCACCCATTCCACCCACTCCAGCGCTGCACACTCCAGTTACTCCAGATTTTCTAGGGAGTCAATCCACAACAATTGGAATCAGTTTGGGCAGGGTTCTGCACGTCTGCTCTCCCTGTGCATTTTCATAGATGTGGAGACAGTTTATTTTCTTCTGCATGTGCCTTAAAAAAATCAGGATTTTAAAGGGAGGGTGCTGTCATCATCAGTGGTGACACAGTACTCCGCTATTTTTGAAAAAAACACTAAAACATTGAAGGAATAGAGGAAATGCTTATTAAATCTGCAGATGATACTAAATTGAGAGGGGTAGTAAATACAGTAGAAGACAGAGTCAGGATACAGGATAATCTCAACAGGCTGGAAAACTGGGCTAAAACAAATAAAATGTATTTCAATGGGGATAAATGTAAATTTCTGCATTTAGGTAGGAAAAATCAAATACTTAATTATAGGGTAGGGGAGACTTGTCAGTACTATGTGTGAATAGGATCTAGGGGTCTTAGTAGACCATACACTGAAGATGAATCAGCAGTATGATGCTGCAGTTAAAAAGGCAAATGCAATTTTGGGCTCTATCAACAGAAGTATAGTGTACAGATCACGCAAAGTGATGGTATCATATTACTCTGCTCTGTTTAGACCTCACTTAGAGTATTGTGTTCAGTTTGGGGCATTACAACTTAAGAAGGATATAGAGAACCTGGAACGTGTCCAGAGGAAGGCAGCAAAGATGGTGAGGGGTCTGGAGACCAAGTCCTATGAGGAAAGGCTGAAGGAGCTGGATATGTTTAGCCTGGAGAGGAGATGACTGACAGGTGAAATGGTAACCATATTCAAGTACTTGAAGGGCTGTCATATAGAGGATGGTGTGGAGTTGTTTTCTATTGCCCCAGAAGGTCAGACCAGAATCAATGGGTAGAAATTAAATCAAACGAGTTTTTGTCTAAACATTAGGAAGAACTTCCTGACACAGCAGTTCCTCAGTGGAACAGGCTTCCTTGGAAGGTGGTGGGCTCTCCTTCTCATCTTCTGGGCATGGAGATGGGTCACTAGGTGAGTGTGGGGGGGAGGTATTTGTGAATTTCCTGTATTGTGCATGGGGTTGGTCTAGTTGACCTTGGAAGTCCCTTCCAACTCTATGATTCTATGATTGCTGGAGCATTGTAACAATAGGCTTAAGAAAGCTGAATTCCCACCTTTCGTTAAAAAATATTTAGCCTCTTCATGGAGTTATGACCTTTTCCTTATATCTTCACAAGAGCTAGAGACTGACTTTTTAAAAATAATAAATTTGAAAGCTGGGAATTCAGAGAACCTCCGAAGCCTATTGTTACAATGCTCCAATGATATATTGATATTTTAACACCATTTAAAAAAAAGAAAACAAAACTACTCATCTTCAGGGTGGAGGGGAGGAGAGGGAGTGGTTTGACCACAACAATCCAATCATTGAATAGTGGTCTAGAGATGGATGGGATTGGGTAGGGCAAAGAAAATTAACAGAAACATTATGCATGAGGGAAAGGTTAACTCAAAATTGGCTGCCAGAAAAACACTGGGGTAAAAGTGGTCTCAAAGAAACAAAAAAAAAAAAGAGGGGGGGGGGGGGGGGCGCAAAGTGAAACCTAAAGGCAAATAGGGATATAAATCGAAACAGTATGGGGCCACAAATGATTTTAAAAACTATGCAGAAAACCCTCTGTCCAAAGCTACTTAACAAGTAAACAGATTATAAAGAGTTTAAAAAGAGGAACACTGGGGGCCCATTTTTTAAGTGCCAGCTAAAAATGACTGTGAGGTTAAGGAAATGAGGTTTCAAAATGCCTTGGGAATTAGAAGAATGCTAACCCCCCCCCTAAGCAGGAGAAAAGTGTGTTCCATTCAGAAGGAAGCTCTCTAGTAGTTTTATCTGGGATGTTCTATAGGAAATATTGGTTGTAAAATCACAGCAATTCTTGAAGAAGAAGAAACTGAAACAGGAGGATATCTGCAGCTACCTCTAGGGTCACTGGCTTCTTTATAAATGGATTTTGATTGTTATACAGCTGAGGTACATTGAAGTATTACATCTCAGAATTTTTCGTTACTGAGAATTCATTCTCAAGAAGATTGTGTATAATTCAATAGAGAGTAACTACAGCATATTAGGATACTGGATTGCAAAGATACCCCATAAATACTGTGTTACAATTTATTACTGTTGTGGATTTCAGTTAGAAAATAAATTATATAGTTGCAAGATCCTCAAATATATGGTGAAAACCTGGAAGTTAGACTTGTTAACTCAATGTAATTTATGTGTTAGATATGTATGTATTAGACTTTGGGCAGAATACATTGAGGTTTCAAAGCGGTAAGTGTTGTTCTTTTGGGAATTGTCTGACATAGAAGAGACAAAGCTTTGCATGGTTTTACACATTGCCATGAAAATTACAACACTGGATATATAAGTGACATGTACGTCCAGGGTGACAATAAAGAAGATGTGGTGTTCTTCCTTCTGTAGAAAAATGCATGTGGCACAGCTGAGCTCAAAACCCACACATTTCTCCACAAGCAGATGTGTGACTTCCCTCTTTATGGGACCATGGATATGCAATCCTATCAATAAACAATAACATCCGAAAATACTAGAGTCTCTATGAAAATTATCACGGTATACTAAAGAAGCAGCTATAGATGGGACTAGCATGGAAGGGACTGTATGCATTGCTCATAACCAACTACGAAAGAGATGGGATCTAACAATGTTAAGAGATCCCTAGATTATTGCTAGAAATTAGATATAAAAGTGAAGATAAGGTAAAGGTTCCCTTGCTCAAAAGCCAGTCAAATCCGACTCTAGGGTTGCGGTGCTCATCTCCCTTTCCAAGCCGAAGAGCCAGCACTGTCCGAAGACGTTTCCGTGGTCATGTGGCCGGCAGGACTAAACACCAAGGCGCACGGAACGCTGTCACCTTCCCACCAAAGTGGTACCTATTTATCTACTTGCAATTTCTTGCTTTCGAACTGCTAGGAGGTGAAGATAGTTCTTTTTAATTTCAAAGGATATGTCAAGTCACTCCTGTGTTCCAGTTCTGTGGCTTCAGGGTTTGGTCCATAATACAAAGGGGGGAGGGGGCTGCACAGAAAACATTATTTAAAATATGTATATCCCGTGTTGCCTACTCAGACTCAGATTTTTACAAAGATGTTGGTGAAATGTAGAGTTTACAGCAGACTCATTACATACTACCGTTTAGATATTTTTATATTGTCTTAGAACTCAGCATTGCATGATCAACTATAGGACTTTATACTCACCGCGTTATCTCCCAGTGCTGCCTTCAGGCTGATCCTCACTTTGATTGTATCGTTGACATCTGGATTTTTTTTTAAAAAAAAAAAGAGAAGTGGGTATTGCCACCGAATTAGAAATTTATTTCCATAAAGTTCTTGTCAGTACTTATTATGGCCTCAGACCAGGGACCCCGTGCACTACAACATCAGGGTGACCCTCCTAGGCTCCTCCCTGCTCACCTCTGTTGCAGCTAATCACCAAGACAGTTTTAACAATGCTTGGATGCACAGCCCACTGCCAGTTTGGTGTAGTGGTTAAGTGCGCGGACTCTAATCTGGGAGAACTGGGTTTGATTCCCCACTCCTCCACTTGCACCTGGCTGGATGACCTTGGGCAAGCCATGGTTCTGATAAGAGCTGTTCTTGAAAAAGAGCCATTTCTGCCAAGAGGGTGTCTGTTGTGGGGAGGGGAAGGGAAAGGAGTTTGTAAGCTGCTCTGAGACACCTTTGGGTAGTGAAGGGCGGGGTATAAATGCAATCTCTTCTTCTTCTTCTACACGTCCTTCCTTCCCAACTAGAACAATTACTTCTCTGGTTTCCACCCCTTGCTCCCTCTTGGCCTTTGGGGCTCACAGCTGGCTTTTGTTCAGCTCCCTAAGGTTCCAGATGGCCCGGGGCCTTCTCTCCTGGAGTTTTTGTCTCCTCCAGTCAGTCGTCCAAGTACAGGGCTTGCTCTCAGTCTGCTGCTCTTTTCTTCCTCTTTCTGTGGCTCTGTCCCATCCAGGAGTTTGCTCTGCCACTGACCCTGTCCTCCCCAGCTTCCAGTTCCTGGCAGTGGCCTCACCCATGTTCCCAACCTTTCTCCTGGGGCTTTCCGTGCCCTGTCGGTTTCTGTAGCTTCTCAGGCTTTTCCGCAGGTGCTTCGACTGCTGGCCTCCTTGGCATGTATCTTGGGTGCAGCTTCTTTGCCTGCTGCCCAGCTCTCTGATTTCCAGACCTTAAACCTGATGGCCAGTGGTCAGGCCCCACTCTCCTGATGGTGGTGATGTGTGTCACTTCCAGCCTGGTCATTTGATTTTTTGACTGGGCTGGGACCTGGCTTGCTGGCCACAATACTATATTAAAAATGCTGCTTGTGTATCACTTTAGGAGACTACATAATATCAAAATAGTATTAAATGTATTGATGAGATTATATGTTTGCTGCCACTAGGTTATGCTGCATCCTTCAGTGATGACCATGGGGTAGGTGCAGGAGGTTAGGCAGAGTTCAGATCAATTAACAGGAGTTGGATGAGCTGAAACGCCCGCTGTGTGGCTTCTTGGGCTGAACATTTCTTTGGCAATTAATCAGCCATTCAGCAAATGACATTTGGCTGCTCTTGGCTATCTAAAAGGCCTCAGAAAAACAAAGCCATAAAGCTCTAGTGGCAGCATAGGTGCACCATGGCCCTCCTTTATTTTACTTTAATGATAGGGCTCACTTAGCCTACAAGCCTTGAGCAATGTCACATGGCCCTTCATTTTATTCTGTTTTACTGATAAGGTGTCACGCATTCATCTTAACTTTTGAGGTTCATGTTAGCAGGGACAGATTTAAAGATTCTAAGTCTATAAGCCATGCCAAGTTTAAGAGGTCTGTAGCATTATCAAAATATGGTAATTGAGTAATATTTAGGATTTTTATTTTTAATTTAGAGGCCCCTAATAATCCGAGGCCCTAAAATAGAGTTTATTTACCATGTGCATACATCTCGGTCTCCTTGACAGTCATATAATTCATTGTTTTAAGTCATTCAGACATAACTTTTCATGGAGGTGGGGAAGACAGTGTAAAAGATGGCTGCTGGCATCTCCAACTGCTATACATGGTGACTTTCTGTCTGGGGGGCAAACCCCTCTAGCCTTGAAAACATTCTGTCCCCAAGTTAAATTGGAAATGTTGCATTTCTAGATTCTCTTTGCTGAATAATCTAATAAAAGCATCTCTGGAAAAGGCAAGCAGTGGTTTCACAGATGAACCATACTGCAAATATAACAAGTACCTACATGGAGACCAGGCTGTATCCCAACCAACAAATCTGTTGGCATTGTTCTCTATCAGCCACTCGTATAAAGGCTGAAAGTAGTGAAGAAGTGCAGTTGCATTCATTTCCTTTTCTCCTGTCACATTTTGTAAAGCCTTGGTCCAAGGCTCAGATCTCCCCAAGGTAAGCATGTTCCTGTGGTTTAGAAAGAAACAGGTTTGTCATTCAGGACCATCCTAATGGTGTGGTACAAGCTGTATAAACAATACAGCCCAAAGGTGGTGCTATGAAAGAGAGCTTGAATGAAAAGAAAGTGCAGTTCTTATTCAACTCTACATGGGCTGCTTTTAAACTGGAATGAACGTCACTTATTAGTTTTAATGGAGAATCCAAACAATACTGTTGGCAATCTAATGCAATCCTAAACAGTGCTGAGTTTTCTGAGAAATATAGTACAATATTATATTTTCTTTTCCATGCTTTGTTTCAGATGTCTGTGGCTGTGATCACACACACTAAATAATCCACTTTCAATCCACTTTCTTTTTTTTGTTCACTTTTTTAAATTAAAGTTTCATACATATTATTTCCTTACATATTTACATTTTAGAGTCAATTATCTATTTTCTAGCCATTTATACAATCCCGACCATCGTTCCACAAAACGACTTCACTTTTCCCTTGTAGCACTAAACTCAACTTATCCATTTCAGCTACTCCCATAAATAATCCACTTTCAATGCACTTTCCAACTGGATTTTACTGTGTGAACTGACAAAATCCAATTCAAAAGTGCATTGAAAGTGGATTATTTAGTGTGTGTGAATCCAGCCTAATAAAGCTACTTCCTGTAAAGAGATTGTAAAGGTTTTTAATAGAGGACCATTAGACACGGAGGCACAATGTTAAAGACTCGGCTAAAATGACTATAAAGTTAAGGAAATAAGGTTTCAAAATGCCTTGGGAATTGTCTGACATAAAACAGATGAAGAGGGAAGGGAAAATGGCACAAAGTGTTACAAGGTCTGCTTAATGTTACCCTGTTTCTGGCAGAGTGAAATTTGCCATCCTGGTAATCATATTCCACTCTATGACTTTTTACCATAAAGTAGAAGTAGAGCTATTGTGTGAGTGTGTGTGGGGGTTATAGTAGTCACCTCTACTGACTACCAGCACCCTTTTTGTGGGGGAGCTCTCCCAAGACCTGAGAGGAGAATTGGTGAACATTGGTGCAACTTTATATATGAGCACTGGCTTTTTTAAAACAACACCAACAAAAAAAGCACTGAGTAGAATAATACAATTATAGTCTGAACTCTAAACTGCCACTTAGAAGCAGTTAGGCCTTGGAGAAACACAGCTGTTGTAGACTGTGTGATTCTGTCTCTATGTGAGGCTGCACCAAGGATGAATTTTACTGTGTCTCTTCTGATTTTATTCAATGAATAAAGCACTAGGTTACCATAACTTGTGGCCAGCAGCGGTTGAATTAGTAATGTCACATTCGTAAAGGGGACCCGTGTGATTAGCGGCTTTGCAAAGTGCTTCTTGAAACTGGAACTGATAAATTGTCCTTGTGTAGTATCTAGAAAGAAAATTTCAAAAGAAACAGAAAACCAAATCACCATTTACAATGATGAGAAATCCCTAGAACTGAGTACCACTCTCTCAGAAAAGGGAGATTACAGGCTGATCTTCTGAAGGTAAAGGTAAAAGGTAAAGGTTCCCTTGCTCGAAAGCCAGTTGAATCCCTCTAGGGTTGCGGTGCTCATCTCCGTTTCAAAGCCAAAGAGCCAGCGCTGTCCGAAGACGTTTCCATGGTCATGTGGCTGGCATGACTAAGCACCAAGGTGCACAGAACGCTGTTACCTTCCCACCGAAGTGGTACCTATTTATCTACTTGCAATTTCTTGCTTTCGAACTGCTAGGTTGACAGGAGCTGGAACTAGAGATGGGAGCTCACTCCGTCATGCGGCACCCGGGTCTCTGAAGGTAAAACTAGAGTACTAATCACATCCAGTTTCTAAACTGTTGTTTTGTTACGAACACTGTTAAAAGTGGGTTCCATGGATGAGCAGACCCCAAGTCTAGTGATCAGCTCAGCTTTATTAGTGATTCAGCAGATACAAGACTAAACTCCAGGGCAATAGCCCTGTTTAAATAGCATGCAATCACCACACCCAACCACACCCAACTCCCAATGATAGGCTATTTACATCACATTAACTCCTCATTGGTCTCCTCCAGAGTCCTGGTGGGCTATTGTTCTAGAGCTCTAAGCTCAGCCAGTCTCTGCTATACAGTCCTGGGATGTTCCAGCCCCAATACATAACAAACACAAAACATTTCTATAAATGTAAGAAAGTCAGGTTGTCAGATTCCAACAGGTTTGACCCATGGTTTTGCTGTCAGCATTCAAAATACAAGGGACTCAGATCTACAGTTTTATAATTTGCAAGTCCTAATATTGAATTCTGGTCTCCATTCTCAAGATCACCATTCTCTTCAGAAACCCATTTATGTGTCATACTTCCATGAATGAGCATTATATATTTTCACAAGAATACAGAGGGCTTTATGCAAGAAAGCTAGAACATTATTGTGCAGATAATGTGACATTTTTATGTTTTTTAAAGCAAGCCGTCAGGGTGTGTGTTTTTTTGTTATATTATTTGCATCAAATTATCTGTATGCTCATTGTAGTTTAACTCTTTTGTGCCAAACCAGGTTAATTGTTTCAGTTAAGCAAGCATGACTACACAGAATCCAAACAAACATAACTATTATGAGTGCATTATTCAAAACCCCATGTTTGTGTGTGTGTGGTTACTAAAGTAAAAAACTGACAGTAAGTAATGGAAATGTAGACACAATTGAAATAGGCAGAAATATAATCAGAAGAAACATGCTGCTGAACATGGAATTCTGCTTGCAGGCTTGATGTTTCTCTAGTAATAAATATATCATTATAATATAGTGATAAATATGAACCATTTCCATTTGTGGACTATATTTGCACTGAAATGAGAAAAACTGGATACTCATCATTAAAGTCTATTCAATAATAGGTTTTTTCTGCCTTTAACTAGGTAACACAGAGTCAAGAGAAGAAAATGGCGGGACCATTGACGCACCTTATAAAAGAGTAGTCATTGGCTACGTGAAAGAGAGCTGCAGGATCACAGTATGCCTCATTATGAGGCAATGGCTCAACAACACCCACTATCTCACGCCTGTAAAGAAGAGAAAGGTCAGAATTTCCATTAGCTCTAGAAAAGGAAATTGCTGCATTCACCAATCATCCCTGATTATCCCAAATCTGTGACATCTATACAATGAAATATTTGTATATCAGATGTGATTTTCCAGTTTTCTTTCCCAGAATAGTTCAAATAAATATGCAGTCTCACAAATATCTATATATTTAAAACCTGAGATTGTTACAACAAAAACAAAAGACCTTAAAGACTAATTGTGGCATAATCTTTTGCAGACTACAGCCCACTTTTTGAGATGTATGAACTGTGTCCCAGTAAGCACAGATATCAGTTGGATACATACGGAAAAGAAAAACAATTTATATGCAGTAATGGCAAATACAAAGATTACCAGGAGGTGTAGTCAGTGACAGGACCTTCTGCTATTGACCTGAAAGTTACCATTCCAACAAAAGAATACTATTACTATTCCCTTAACCCCATAAAATAAATAAAGCACTATCAGTGCAGGGCAGAGAAATGAAAGGAGACCAAAAAAGAAAAAAGGGTGGGGAAACCCTTGATATGAATAGGGAAGTGTGATGGACTACACTTTAAAAGTTTATGTGCTGTATAAACATGCAATGGACTGTGAAGGGTCAATGCCTCACAGAGTTAGAGAGCCTTGAGTGAAAGGGCGCTCAAAGGGATTTAATTGGTTAGCATCACAATGAGGGACTGCCTTTCCCCATTTGTGCCCCAGAGAGCACTACGGTCTGGGGCCCAACAACGTCTAGCTATCCCGGGCCTCAAGGAGGCGAGACTTGCCATTACCAGGGCCAGGGTGTTTTCGGTGGCAACTCCTTACTGGTGGAACAAACTCCCAGATGAGATCAGGGCTCTTCAGGACCTCTCACAGTTCCGCAGGGCCTGCAAGACGGAGCTCTTCCACCAGGCTTTCAAATAGGAGCCGCCACCACAGTTACCATCAATCCGGAATATCGGACTGGCCCACTCTGAGCCTCACCGGCGAACATCTGGACTGTAGGACTGATTTTAAGTCCCGAAGACAGAAGGCAGACACAAACCATTCATCTTAAGGTTACTCTGATGTAGTGAGCACTTTACTATTAATATTGTTTTTAAGGGATTTTAATATTTTTATTGTTTTATTTTTATCGGCCTGTTGGCCGTCTTCTGTAAACAGCCCAGAGTCTGTTTACAGGGTGGGTGGGGTATAAATGTAAATATAAATTAAAATAAATAAATAAATCACTTTAGCAGAAAGATTTGGGAACTGACTGTTGAAGAGAATTCAGTTTGTATTTAGCTCTGATTGACAACTGGAACAGTTTAGCTCTGACTTAGAAGAGTTTAGTACTGACTGAGACCAGTTTAAATCTGACTGAGGACTGGGAAGGCTGGCAAGGAGGAGTGGGTGGACCAGTGAAGACCCCGATTTGAGCCAGGAAAAAAGATAGATCTTCTAGTTAGGGAGAAGAAATTCCCTGCCCAGTTGATAAGGGAGATAGCTCTAAAGAGTGGAGTGATCCCTGGTGTGTTCAGAGAAAGAATTTGGGTACTTGCTAGAGTATCCCTGCCTTCTGAAATCTGAAGAGTCGGTGAGGGAACGGAGCTGGGTTATCATAGGAAGCCAGACACCAGGCCAGTTTGGATGGCAAATAAGGAAGTTCAAAATGGAATAGATGTGGTAGGTGGCATATTGCTTGCAGGGAATTATGAAAATGCCACAAAGGAGGCAAGCATTGATGCAGCAGAATAATGTTAAAATGGGTCAGGAAGTGGCACAAGCTAGTGACATGGTATCAGATGACAAAAAAGGTGATCTGGTCTCTGGATCTGTTCTTGAACTTCACCTGGAAATGTTCTCTAATGACCTAATCAACTGGCAGCATCTCAGCAGATTGTAAAGGGAACTAATGGTGTGCAAGTGTTTACTACCCAAACCAGCAAGCTTCCTCCAAAAATTTACTCCCTACATTTGTTTTCTGCATGACTCTGCCCATTGTCAAGAGTGTGAAAAGGGACTGGTTCACTTGCAACCACAAGGTTCTCTATGGTGTCTCTTAAGAGATTAAAAAGAAAAGAAAAGAAATCAAGCTTTGCAGCATTCCAGATTCTACCTTAGGAGTATGAACTGTAACTGGATAAAATAGTATGATAAAGTAAAGACTGGAAGGCAGGTTCTGATTGACTGCAAAATTATTTACTCTGTAAAGATCTTGAAAATGCTGTTAATGGGAAAAGAACCATTACTTGAAGAAAGTATAGTTTCATAGAAGGAAAAGTGGCACAGATTCTGACTGAGTGAAATTTGCCATTCCAGAGATCACATTCTACTCTATGACTGTAGGATGTTCCTTTTTACCATAAAGTAGAAACAAGGCTTCCCCCTGATAGTACTCACTAGTACTGAGTACCTGCACTTTGGGGGGGGGGACTCTCCCAAGTCCTGAGGGGGGAACTGTTGGAAATTGGCACAACCTTATATACGAGTACTGGCACTTTTTAAAACAAATGTACAAAACACTGAATAGAACAATAAAAATATGATCTGAACTGCCACCTTGAATCAGTTATGGAGCATCAAATGACGGGAGAAAATTTAAGCATACATTACATGTTCTGGTGAAGTCAGAATGAGTAATTGGAGGTGTGTGCCAAAAAAGTACTAAATGCAGTTCTTGAGGAAGTGATAAATCCTCACTTCTATAGAATCATCACAGGTGGGTCTCCTAATGTTTCACACACTGAGCAGTTGGTATTTATCAAGGATATGTATATGATAAAGATGAAACAAGAGGTGCATGAACAATTTCTGAACATGCTGGACAGTGATAAAAAGAAAGGCGAAAGTAAGTATTGAGTGTAAGATGGAGTTAGGGAATTCTATAGGCCAAGGGGATGATAGGGCTTCAAATATGTATACAGGAAATATAAGAGTAAGAAAACTAGGATACAAGATGAAAGTCCTTAGGCATTGCATTCATCCTGCAGCATGCACACTTTAGGCACCTGTGTGGTACCCATGCTATGGAAAAGAAAACAGAGGTGAAAAAGTGTTTTGGAAATGTACACTGAATTGTCATGCAATCTTGTAAGATGGGAAAAAAATCAGGAAGCTGCAGGACTCTCTCTTCTTTCCCTGTCAACAACTACATGGATCTTGAGAATCAGTTATTTATCCCCTTGTCAAATATCATAAAGGGGTGCAAGATTCTTTATTCAAAACTGAGGAAGAACAACTCAACCACAGAAGTTCAGGCTGATGTTTCAGATCTCACTATCCTATGAATTCATCCTCCTGACTACTGTGTGTTGTGAGATATCTGAAGCAAGGGATCCAAGCACAGCAGTGAAGTACGGGTGCAACATGTCAGGAGTTTCCTGGAAGAAATGTATCTGTGGGATGGTTCCTGGCCAAGTTTATTCACAGAAGCTAAGGTCATCACTGAGGGACTAGGCCTTACCATTTAAATTAAGAGAACACAGAGAAGAATTCAAAGGAAGAAATGTTTCCACAATGAAAGCGAATACAGAACATTAGATATGTGTTCCCTTGAAGATAAATTCAGGACGGAAGCATTCATCACAGCCATGGATATGCCTCACTGAGCTTTCCACACCATAGCCAAGACAACATGGAAACTTCTCACCCATTCTTGATTCTCTAGCTTTTGCAGAGAATGAAGAATAGAGATGGGCATGAACTGGGACAATGCAGTTCGGTCCGTGGCATGTCTGGTTTGTGAACTACAAGCTGTCATGAACTTTTAGGGGCTAAATGAACCAGTTTGGTTCATGATGTGGTAGAATGCCTCCCCCCCCCCCGGGGCATGCACCAACCTCACAAGAGATATCCGGCTGACTTTCCTCTACCTGCCCTCAAAGTTCAGTGAGGATTGGATTTACGGGATCCGAGTTACGCCCCTCCCAAAGTAGGTGCCCCCAGGAAAGTGCTTTCTGGGGAAATGACAAGCACAGGTTCAGGAGGTTCAGGAATGTATAGAATGGATCCGGTGCCAGCTAGAGACACCAACTCACATGGGCTCTCCAGCTGACTCTACTCTACCTGTCCTCCAAGTTTGGTGAGGATTGGATTTATGGGGTCTGAATTATGGAACCCCCAGAGAAGGTTCCCTCATCTTCCGTTGTTTCCAATAGAGGGGGGGGGGAACCAGCCAAAAAAGCAAGTGGAATAGAAGCCCAGCAGAACAGAATCAAAGTCCCTGAGAATCTCTACAGTAGAAACTGAAGGTGGGGGGCATTTTTGCAAGCCCAGCAGAACCAGTGCCACTGTGGCAGTGCAAACCCAACAAGCCAGAGAATCTCTGCAGAAACAGAAGGGGGGGCATTTTTGCAACCCAGCAGAACCAGTGCAATCAACGGAGTGCACAGCAGTATCAGTGCAATCGAATAGTGCCTAACAGAATCCATTGCTGTTATGACAATGCTTGCTCAACAGAACGGATGTGAAGTACGGAATCACATTCCAAGCAAGGGATGGAAGAGTCACAAGCTCAGCACAACCAGTTCAGTGTACAGAATGCCCAGCAGAACCCAGTGCTACTGTGGGCACTGTAAGCTTAAAAGGACTGATCTCAAAGCAGAGTCACAAGAAATCCAAGCAAGGGGAGGGATTTTGCAAGCCCAATACAACCAGTTATAATATGCAGAATGCCCAGCAGAACCCAGTGCCACTGGCATTGCAATCTTAAAAGGACTGCTCTCAAAGCAGAAAGTCACAACAGATCCAAACAAGGGGGGATTTTGCAAGCTCAGTGCAAGAAAATGGGAAGGGAACACAAAGGACCGCAAGTGAATGGGGAACCCTCTTGAAACTGACTAGTTTGAAACTGACCACCCTGTCGATTTGAAATTTGGAAAACATTTAGATTGAGTGGAGACAGTCTGTCTGGATATGTATCAAAAACCCCTGCATAAGCAGTTGGAAAATTTGTGAACAGTTCATGCTGGTTGTCCTGCCACAAACTTCACTTTGTGCACCATGAACCGGCCAAAATTCATCAAGTACTTTAGTTCATTAGCTGGTTCATGCCCACCCCTAATGAAGAAAATGCAAAGAAGGGCAGCATCTCTGTTCGCCAGATGTCCATGAGACATGAACAGGGATAAACTGTTAGAAGAACTGGTTTACATAATCAGGAAAGACACAAATCTGTGCACTCCTGGAGGAGCTATGTTTCCGAAAATAACAATTTGGTCAAGAATGTTCATTGCCTTGCCAGTGTCTGTTGCATACAGGAAATACATTTTTAATAAGCTTAAGGTTGATAAGGACTACCTACAGTAGGATAAGCCGAAGCATTTGCTCATGCGGAGAATGCACTTGCAAAACAAATAAAATCTGATGATGTAGGAGATGATGTTGCTTTGTTTAGTTCACGTTATCTAAACTGTACAGTTCAAATCACTGCAAAAATGGAACTGATTATGTCAGTTGAAATGTTGGGGGGGATCCAGTGCTGCATTTCTACAGGTGCAAGGATGGAGTGTGCTCATGGAAGCTGATTCCCCACTTTCACATCAGTCTGAAATAGCTCCCCAAATTCTGCTCCTTGGGTAGAGAGAGGAGATGGCACTTTCCCTAAAACAACTTAATTTTGCTGTATTTCATTTATCTTATACAGGGGTCATTTCGTAGAAAAAGAGCTAGGGGAACTCATTAGCATAACACATTAGCATATGCCACACCCCCTGACATCACTGGAAGTGTGTCATAAGGCCACACCCCCTGACATCACCAGAAGTGTGTCATAAGGCCACACACCCCGCCCCCAACGGTCCCGGCTGCCGCCGCCGGCCTTGCAGCTCCACTACCGAGCCCCATGAGGGGCCCGGCGGTGGACCTGCAAGGCTGGTGGGAGTGCAAGGAAGCCCCGCAAAGGCCCTCCCTGGCCCCAGGCAGGCAGGGGTGGGGAGAGGCAGGGAGGAAGCAACTTACCCTCCCTCTTCTCCTGCCTCCTCCTGGCTGAATGAGGGCTGGAAGCGGGGCGGCCGAAAGCAGGGGGTGGGGCTTCGTCATGTGCCCCGCCCCCCGTACCTCACCCGGGGGAACTGCGATCCCTCGCGATCCCCCCGAAATGACCTCTGATCTTATATAAACTGCCAACCCAAATCCTCTTTTAGTGAAATCATTTTCCCAATTCCCGTTCTGTGCACTTAAATCAAGAAAGTGCCTCTGATTTTGCGTTCTGCATATTCTTTCATTTCTAACTTTGTAACATAGGTTTACTTGCAAACTGTTGTTGTTCAAGGCAAGTGAGAAGGAGAGGTGGTTTGCCATTGTCATTTGGTGTAGGGGCAACGTGTGTGGATTCTAATCTGGGAGAACCGGGTTTGATTCCCCACTCCTCTACTCACAGCTACTGGATGGCTTTGGACAAGCCATAGTTATGTCAGAGGTGTTCTTGAAAAGAGCAGTTTCTGTCAGAGCGCTCTCAGCCCCACCTACCTCACAGGGTGCCTGTTGTGGGGAGGGGAAGGGAAGGGAGTTTGTAAGCCACTCTGAGACTCCAAGTGAAGGGTGGGGTATAAACCCAATCTCCTTCTCCTCCTCTTCTTCCTCCTCCTCCTCCTCCTCCGAAGAGTGTTCCTTGGTGGTCCCCTATCCAAGCACTGACCCTGTTAGCTTCTGAGATCTAACAAGAGTGGGCTATATCATGCCACCTTCCCTCCCAGTCATTTCCTTTACTCACTTCATTTCCCACCATTTTCTCATCCATTGTTCTTTTGAGATCGTACCAGCAAACACCATCCACCGCCATTTCTCTAGCATGTATGTGAAAGGCATAGTTCCAACAATAGTGAGGGCCTGTTTGAGAAGGAAATTGATCTTCGTTTCTGTAAAAAGCAAAGCAAAATGACAGAGTAAATATTTTTAGTTGTACAGTTCTAAGGGTTCTGTTGTTGTTGTTTTTTGCAATTTTGGCCTTGCAACAAAGAATTGGTAAAGTTATAAAGTCTTCCTTCCCTTTTCCCCACAAGCTTTATACAGACCCTAACTGGTTCCTAAAGTGTCTGCATTGTAATGCATTGACTGCTAACAGTTTAGGTCAGTGATGGCGAACCTTTTAGAAAACCCACTTATTTATCACAAAGTGCCAACACGGCAATTTAACCTGAATACTGAGGTTTTACTTTAGAAAAAACAACTCATACATTAACTTAAGATGATCCAAACAAAGTAAGGAAAGCAATCCCAAATGCTTTCATTTACTTAAAACTATTTGGCAGAGAATTCGACACTTTAATGATGGTCTGGGCCTGGCTGGGGCGATGGCACGCGTGCCCACAGAGAGGGCTCTGAGTGCCACCTCTGGCACCCATGCCATAGGTTCGCCACCACTGGTTTAGGTGGTCTGAACAGAGCTAGAAACTTTAGTGCTGAATGTCTTAGAGGTCTGTACCATTAGAATTTGGACTAGTCATTTAGACACTGCAAGTGTCATGATTTGAAAGATGCCTAGATTTTACAAACACTGCAGTCCTTATGATATTACATGCGTATGTGCCATTAAGCTGCAGCTCCAGTGACTCCAGCAAGGGGCTTTCAAAGCAAGTGAGAAGCAGAGGTGATTTGCTATTGCCTTCCTCTGCAGAGTCTTGCTTAGTGGTCTCCCATCTGAGTATCGACCTTGCTTAGCTTCCAAGATCTGAAGAGACCAGGCTATACCGTGCCACATGTCAGGAAGTCATCCATATAACACAGTTAACGATTTCCAGTCAGAACATCTTACTGGTATTTTTTATTCAGAACTGCATGTCTTGAATTTCAAGTGTACTGAGAGGCCTAGCAGGCCCCCACACAAAGACTTCATCTGGACTCCTCCTCACTTCATCCAAGGTCTACCAAACAGCATATAAAAACAAATTGCATACTTTGCCTAGTTCCACGAGAACCTAGGAAAACAAGGCCCCTGGAATTATGCCCCCCCCACACCAATGTCTCTGCTCAGGCCTGGTGAGTTTTGATGTCAATGGCCTTGAAGAGTATAATTCTTCTTAAGGTGGCACTGTTAGCACCATGCACTGATCTTTTCTCTGGAAAAAATGGCTCCATATTACATCCAATACAGTAACATCTACCTATTGCCTTGTCCTGCTTCTTAGCTCCCAGCAATAGCTGATATCATTAACAATTGGCATAGGAGGCTAGACTTTGGATCTCTGTGGGTAAGCTTGTGCATTACCTGTGAAGAACAGGAGATCTTGGGAGCTGAAAGCTAGTGTGGTGTACTGGTTAGTGTGTCAAACTATGATTTGGGAGCCCCAGGTTCAGATCCCCACTGTGACATGGAAACTTGCTAGATAACTTTGAGCCAGACAAATACTCTCAACCTAACCTACCTCACAGGGTTGTTGTGAAGATAAAATGGAGAAGAGCAGAACAATGTAAGCTTCTTTGGGTCCCCACTGGGAAGAAACACCAGGTGTAAATTAAGTAAATAAATATTAAGATGATCTCCTGAACTTTCCTTTGTCAACTAAATCTGGAGAAACCTGCATATTAAAAACAGGAGTTCTAAAAAAAAGTTTTCTTCGTTCTCAGATTATGTACTTATATATTACATCAGCCAAGATTTATAAGAGTCATTCCTTCCCATGTGACTGAGAAAGAGTCAGATGAAGCCTTCACTCATGGCTTCTGTATATGGTATAAAGATAGATATTTTATAAAAATCTGCCCAATTAACAAGGGGTGAAATGTCACTCAATCTACTTGACTAAAGACTGCAGCTTTAGATTTAAGAATTAGAACTCAGAAATGTGATTGCACCTTTCTAGCCTTCTGGTGTATGTTTTAATCCATTGACCTTTCCATATTTCTCACCATCATCTTCCTGGAAGTTAGGATCCAAAAGACCAAGGGATTTCAAATGGTTTGGAGTGGCTGCAGAAAGTGACATGATCTCTCCTATGGCTTCATGGAATCCTTCATTGGCACCACTTCTTAGCAGATAAGGAAGGTGGGCATAGGCCATATCGTATTCAATGTGCCCCATCTCATGGTGTGCTACCAGGAAGTCATCCATAGTCACTTTGGTGCACATCTTGATCCTACAGTCAAATGCAATTGAGCAAAGACTATTGGTACTGTGTGAGTCACAACTACACATACTGTGAACTTTGACATGAATGAGACCACCCAGAGAACGGACCTCGTTTCACTCGTGCAATCTGATGTGAGACAAGCTCTTGGCTGGCTCTCCATGACAATTATTATTGAAGTTCACATCAAGCAGCTTTGAGCCTATGCAGTAGCCATTTATTCTACATGGCCAGGCCATTGTATCTTCAATTATTGCTTACTGGAGTTGCCATTTTTAATCTTTTGTTTTAAATTGCAGCTATTACACCTTGGTGTTTAGTCATGCCGGCCACATGACCACGGAAACGTCTTCGGACAGCGCTGGCTCTTCGGCTTTGAAACGGAGATGAGCACCGCAACCCTAGAGTCGGATTCGACTGGCTTTCGAGCAAGGGAACCTTTACCTTTATTACACCACTGCACTATTTCTGTCATTAGGAAATATTCCTGGTGTCATGATGTAATATTGCTAATTTGTTAAACTAAAAATAAAAATTACAGGAACATACTTGTGTGGATGTCATTAAACAGGGTGGAAAATGGATTAATGATAATATAGAACAAACACTGACAGTACACTGGCAGTGCAACCCTAAGCAGAGTTATGCCTTTCTAAGCCTATTTACTTCAATGGAATTAGAAGGGTGTCACCCTGCAGAGGATTAGAAAGGTGTAACTCTGCATAGGATTGTACTGACAGAAACCTAAACATTAACAGTGCAATCCTAATGAGAGTTACTCCAGTCTAAGCCCATTGAAATGAATAGGCTTAAATGGGAGTAACTCTCTTTAGGATTGTACTGTAAATCGACATTAAAACAGAATATTTTTCTTCTAACATGTGCCTTTTGGCAGATGAAGGAGGGGGCATCACCTGTTGCAAAACTGTATTGTAATTGGTGACATGATAGTTCTTCTCCCTCTGTTTACTTACACTGGGGAAGTGTACTGCCCCCGCCCCTTTTTAGTTTGAGCTAATTACACTATGCCACTGAGAATATTGCCTAACGATAGGAATAATGCAATGGTGTAAAAAAATGGTGATTGCACCAAGCAGTTCAGATGACATTGGCAACGAGCACTATGCTTTCCCACATGCATGAGAAAGTAGTGTAATCACATGAAATGAACACATCCAAATTCATTTGAAGACATTTAAAGAGCTTGCATATTTGTGACCGGTGAAGATGTTGTCAGCTGAACTAGTCGGTGCGTAAAGCATCTCTGATTATGACTGCCCAGAAGACTTGAGCAACTTTTTTAAAAAAGCAGTCCTCTTTTTTTGCTGACATACTCTAATTTGCCTCCAAACTTATTGCATGCCTGGAATTGTGTTTGTATGGGAAATATTTTTGTTAGTGAGAAATTTTACACCTCTCCTCAGGAAGTCTGTGCAGATCTATTATCTATCTATCTATCTATCTATCTATCTATCTATCTATCTATCTATCTATCTATCTATCTATCCATCCTTCCATCCATCCATCCATCCATCCATCCATCCATCCATCCATCCAGCTATCACACTCCAAACAACCTTTTGAGATAGGCTATTTTTCTGACGTACAGGACTGGATTAAAAAAACTGTGTGCAGAACTCCCACTCTGCACCACCAAAAAAGATGCTCCTGTGGGATTCTCAGGAATCACACTAAAGCAATTTAAGAGAAATCCAGCCTGAGTAGGAAATCATACAAAAAACCCTTTCACAAAGGCACTTTTGAATCCAGTCTGTAGTGATTTTAACAGAATAAACTTGATGGCTAAATGTATAATTGAACCTATATCTTCCCTTCAAACACAAAACTCCTGTCTCTCAGCATACTGGTTCTTCAAATGCACTCTCTCTCACACACACACACACACAAGCACTGAAGAAGAACTTTCAGATCAGGAATTAGTGTTTCTGTTTGAGCATTCCACTCCTATTAAAAGTGTTTGTTTTCATGATTTTGGAGTGGCTAACAAATATTTTAAGGAAAGGGGTAGAAACAGTCATAGAGTTTTCAGTACCTGTAGTCTCCTTTTCCCATATCCCAGGCAGTGGGATGACAGACAACTTTCCTGCCATCGTTAGGTTCTACAAGCATAGAATTTTCCCAGAAGCCCTCTGTCATGTTGTAGAGGCCAACTGAGACAAAAAACTTCTCAGCAGCTTTAAATATAGCTGTTACATTCCAGTTCTGAAAAAGAGTTTTTCCGTATTCATTAGTCATGTTCTTACTAGATCCTCAAAACTCTGTTATGAGTATTTAGTTTCATGCACTTCTTTTGTTATTTTTAGTTTTTACTACACTTCAATAGTTCAACTGGGTTCAGTTAACCTAAAAGCCATTTCTCTTGCTGAGGTAATCTGTTGAGCTAAAATGCTATATGAGTTGCAATACTTGTATTTTTGCCCCAGGTCTTTCTTTAAAAGTCAAAAAGTCAGAATTGTGGGGTAAGATTCTAAATAAAACAGAAATCATGACATGGCTAGTTTAAAAAAGGGGGTAGAACAGAAAAGTAGAAATACAATTGGATGGTATTTTCTGAACGTAGCTGGCTAAGCTATTATAGATGAAATATTAGCTACTGTGCACAGTCCTAAAGGAAAGCTTTCAGAGAACTATTAGAATTAAGGAATCATTAGGAATAACTACAGAAAAATTTTTTATTCTGTGGAACCTTTTCATTCATTTATTCATAGACCTTTATTGGCATATCATCAGTCATAAAACAAATTAGAACATTGTACAATAAAAATTAAGGTCTAAGATTCCATATAAATTGAATATTGTCAAGAATTGTACTATCTAAATTTTGTACTTTAAGAACTTCTATAAGAAATTTGGCAACATCATCTCAGGGACCAAGTCATTCAAAAGAAATTGGCATTTTGACTTATTACTCAAATAACATTTAGGATGAAGCCAAGTTAAAAGCAATTTTTCATGCGGTAAATCATGAAATCCATAAAACCATGAAATCATTCAACCATTATATGCTCAATTGTGTCCAGGAAATTAAAACCACAAGGACACAGCCATTCTTGTCTTGGGATTTGATGGAATCTACCATAGAGTATTCTAGAAGGAAATGTGTTAACCCTGGCCAGAAGAAAGGCTCTGCGATGAGGATATCAAGATAATAGAAATATTGAGGCATCTTACCTGAGTGGTTAGTGAGACCAAGCATAGCAGGGGAACAGATGTGAGGTTGGGTAGGATGTAACTTTTGTAAATCAATATCTAAAAATCATTGTTTGATTAGTTTAAAAATATGGGTTTCATTAGTTAAAGCTAAGTTTTCAAGAGGAACACCAAGTTGAGTTAGTTTAGGTATAATAATGGAGTCCCAGGAGGAATTATGCAGTTATTTTAACGAAAAGGATAAGAGAGAGCCCGATTCCGCTCTCAAGTAGAGCCTAAGCCAGTAGCGTATTGTTGAGATCCAGGCCTTGGTCTCAATTAAATTTTGGCAAACTTCAGAGCTGATTGCAGAGTAAGGCACACATTTGGGGACACCGATTATTAGTCTAAGAAAGATCGCTTGGATGCTCTCCAGATCACAGTTAAAAACAGTGAGCCAAATAGTGATTCCAAACACCCTTGTTTAACGCCTTTCATAGATGGAATTTTATTGGGCAGCCTCCTGTTTGGAGAGTACTTAACTTGACTCGTTGTGGCTTTCTGTAGTTGGTTGATGTTTTTTTAAAAAGAAATAGGAGACGCAAGTAAATTCCTAGTTTGAACAATTTATCCCATAGTTTTTCTCTTGAGACTGCATCAAAAGCGCTCTTTAAGTCAATGAAGGCTACAAAGAGTTTTTTATTGCCTAGTTTCATATATTTTCTGGCTAGGGTGGGCAGAATCAGACAATGGTCTAATGTTGATTTATTTTTAGAGAAGCCAATTTGTTCTGGCCCTATAATGGCATTAGATTGAACCCAGTCGAGTAAATGATGTTCTAGGTATTTCACATATAATTTCCCAACAACTGATAGAAGATTGATAGGGTGAAAGTTTTTGGGTAAATTAGGATCACCCTTCTTGTAGATTGAAATTATGATTAAGTTTAGCCATGAATTTGAAAAAATACCATAGTGATCAATTGATGTAAATAGCTTAGCCAATAAAGGGATCCACCAATCAGCAAAGTTCTTGAAGCGTTCAACGGGAAGTCTGTCTGGGCCAGGGGCCCTGCCGGATTTCAAGTTAGTTATTAATTCTGTGATTTCATCAGTATCTACTGGAGGCCATCTGGGAATACTAGGAGGAATCATCTCATCAGTGCCAGACAGGGAAACAGTATGGGAATTAAAGAATGTAGAAAAATGCTCAACCCATATTTGGGGAGAAATGCAGGATTCTGGTATGAGATTGTTATTTAATGCCCTGGAGATTGCCCGCCAAAAAGACATGCCGTCTCAAGATTTGATAGACAGAAAAAGTTGATTGCATCTGTGCTTCTCGGCCTTTTGGCTGGGAAAGCATTATCTACCTAAGTCTTCTGTTGACCCTTTGTACCCATGTTCATGACTTACCTTCTCAACCATTGCAGAAGACACATCAATATTTGGTTTATTTGGATAGGGAATCATTAAAGGATATAAATTTGTCCAAAATCTACCCCACATGTCACCTTCAAAAGCAAGAAGGTAGAATTACAAGTAAGTACAAAATTAATAGTATTCACTATTTTTATACATCCGCCTAAGATGCTGGAAATTCTGTGAACTGTAGTCTTGGTAGTTTTATTTTTCTAAAAATCAGACACCCAGGGGTCCAAATCCAGTAGGGACAGTGGTATGAAGAGAAGGGTCTTCCCCTGCCAAATATTTGCCCCAGTGGAGTAAACATACAGGTACTGAAACAGGTGCTTGTACTTTTGCCCCAACAAGGCAAATCACAGATTCCTAGAACCATTTCACGATGGGATAACGATGCAGGATGGAAAGCTTAAACTTTCTTCTCTTCAGTCAGCAGTGGGTGCTGGTTTTCTGCTTTTCAGATAAAAGAATTGCTGGGAACTCCATTCATAGAACTCCCAATGAACAATTTGTTTTTCTGCAGAAGTCTATTTCCACAATGGAACAGCTCTCTCTCTCTCTCTCTCCCTCTCTCTCCCTCTCTCTCTCTCTCTCTCTCTCTTTTTCTCCCCCCCCCCTGGTTTCATATTACTTTTGCAAAGCCTCTGATTATTTCCAGGTTTAAATTGATGTATGTTGGAGACAATAACTTGCTCTGCATAAGGAAGTAGAAAGGGCCCCACTGGATCAGGTCAATGGTCAACCTAGTCCACTATGTTCTCTCCAACAGTGGCCAAGTAATGCCTATGAAGACCTGAAAGCAGGGCCAGAAAGGGCAAAGCCTCCTCTGCTCTTGCCCAGGGGTTCTCAGTATTCAGAGGTATACACATTCTGAACATGAAGCTTCCATTTTAATCTTTTTTAACATTATTTATAATCTGTCTTTCTCACTGAGACGCAAGGTGGATTATACAATGTACTTCAATGTAACCAATAGGATGATACATGTGATACACAACTAGCACTGCAGAAATTTGAAACAAAGCTGTCATCTGAGCAAAGCGTAAGTATTAAATATGACGTATTAATGCAGAACATTATATCACATAAGCAGAAACACAGTGCATTTTCCTGGAGCAACCTATTATAAAATGCCCTCCTGAACAGTTCCGTTTTACATAGTTTGCAAAATGCCAGGCGTATGGGAGCCTCCCTGACCCCCCTCTGGCAGGCCACTCCACAGGATGGGGGCCACTACAGAGAAGACACTTTTACGGGCAGTCATTGATCTCCCTCATTTGTAGGGTGGCACCTGCAGAAGGCTGTGCTCAGATGAGCGAAGTTGTGCCATAATGTAGACTGAGACGTTCTCTTGCAGATAGGACAGGGTTGCCAGGTCCTTCTTCTCCGCTGGTGGGTGACTTTGGGGGGCATTCCTTGTGCATTGACATGGTTGGCATGATGACATCACACAGAAGTGAGGTCATCACTTTGGGGACCCAGCAAACCACACACTTGAGCTTCCTGTGGCCGCCCCCCTCCTTCCCTTCTGCAAGATTTAAAGGGCCCTCCAGCTGATTGGTGGGCCACGTGCTCCTGCCAATTAGCTAGAGGGCCCTTTAAATCTCACAGGGTGGCTCAGGGGATCCCACATCCCCACCTGGGGACTGGCATCCCTGAGATAGGATGGTCCAGGGCCATGAAGGGCTGTGTATGTGATCCGGCCCCACAGGAGACAGCCCACGGCATGCCTCCTGGGGGCTGCGTTTGCCTCCTCGTGAGGAGGAATAAGGAAGGGCTGTGGTGCAGCCTAAATTCCAAGAGGGGGAGCGGAGCCTACGCTATCTTAAAGGCTTGCTCCACTCTCCCCTATCAGTTGGTCGCCTCGTGCTCAGCCCACCCACCCACCCTGTATGTAGTGTAAACACAGGTTGGTTGCCCCATTTAACGGGGGACCGGGTAGGAATTTTTTGTCCCCTTCTCTGATTGGCTATTGAGATGGGGTCTTTTTCGCCTACCTTGCACAGCGGTCAGTGGATTGAGGAATTGGCTTGGGTTGGTGCCTAGGGGCTAGTTCATCACTTTGTTAGGGCAGAATTAGGTTTAAATAAAGTTCAGCGGCTTGTAAGCACCAATGAATAACCCCTGGGGGGGTAGAGGGGTCTGCGGGATCAACCCTGCAGCCATGCGGCCTGGGATGTGGCTTTCCGAACAGTAATCCTAAATAGGTCTATTCAATGGAGCTTACTCCCAGGAAAAGCGTTGTAGGATTGTTCTGTTACTCTACTTTTTCATGGTTTTATATAGTTTAATTTGATCTTCCATTAAGCTACCTTCAGGCTTTAAAGAGATTTCTCAGCTAACATAACTAGTAGTATAAAAGTCTACTGTATTTGGCTACAAGTCAGCCTACTAGTTAGCATATCAGGTGCACATGTTGTGGTATATTCCAGGGGGGGGGGGGGGGGGGGGGGATAAGCCAATACCTTGAATTGAGTTCCATAACTGATAGGCTGCCCAATGGAGTGACTGCAGAATTGGAGTGATATGTATACTCTGCCTAGCTTCTCATCTCTGCCCTGCTCCCTTTTAGTTCACCCAGTGACTTTGGTTTAGTGAGTTCCAAGCAATTAGCAATACTATTTGATTGTGTTGCAGAATTAAACTGCCTGTTGCCCTTGTGGTTAGCTGCCCTGGTTGGTTAATTTGAGATTTAAGAGGTGCATTTTTGCTGAGGAGGCAACGATTGTGCTCGGTACTCTCTGACTGATTGCACCTGGCTTTCCAAATTCATTTAATGCATCTTTTAGGGCATCCAATTTAGTTGAGATTTTGTTAAGTTGTTGGAAAATAGCTGCCACAGTGTCTGCAGTGAGAAAACATTGGTCCCCTGCGATCTTTAGCAGATCAGTTTCTCCCAGATTTACCATGTCTAGATTAATGGTCTTTAAATTAGCTCCTGAGTAGCAAACAGCTTCCTCCCTTTCAGCCCCTGCTGCATCATTTTCACAGGGGTGTGGCATTTGAATATTTTGTTCTTTTAGTGCTCCCTAACTTTAGATCTTGTATTAGGGGAAGTAAAAGATATTTCATTCACCAATACTTTCCAAAACGAGTCATCCATAGATAGCTGTTTTGCCCACTTGGGAGTAGAGGCTGGTGAGTCCCTCTGAACTCTTTTATTTCCCCATTTTTATTGGATATCTATCTTTCTTTCACTTCTGCTGCCTCACAAGTTGAAGTCACTGAAGTAACTCCACAGCTTCTAATCAGTCTATCTTGCCACTGAGTTAGGGTGATTTATACTTAGCAGATAGGCTTAATTGATGCTGGTTCTTCCTTTGGCTGTCTTCAAAGTATTCCAGAGTGGTGCATCTTCCCCTATGTTATCTTGCTGGCACAAAACTTGACAATGTTCAAGGAAAATATTTTGTATGGCGAAGGAATATCTTAAAAGGACCAAATTATTGTTATACAAGAAATATGTGACCAAATTAGAACTGTTAAACTGTTGAAACACCTGTTTCTTTCCTTTTCTATTTTATGATTATAAAACTGACTAATAATAGGGTAGCATAGATAAAATGAAATATAGCAGATAGGATATAGAAAAATGAACTATATATTGGGAATAGAATTTTGATTAATGATATTTGTTGTAGAAGTTAAATAAGGAGGAAAAAGGAACTATGTATCTAAAAATCTTGTGAGCGAGACAATGTCTAGATATTTTAAAAAGGTATTGCTCTTTTTTGTTTTGTTTGGTGTAATTCTTAAAAACTAATAAACTTTGCCCATTTGGGCAAGTATTAAAAAAAGAAAAGAAAATATTTTGTATGAATAATCAACAAATAGAGCCTTGAGTGAGCCACTGCTGTTCTGTTGCCATCTTCAGTTTCAGTCATAGCTAGTCCCCAGGTTGATTTTAAGGGGAGAGCTATGTAGAGTACATTGCAGTAGTCTAGTCTTGATGGTGCCATGGCATGGATCCTGGTGGTTAGACAGAATGAGTCTAAGCAGAGTGCCATCTTCTGAGATAAGCTAAATTGGTAAAAAGCTATTTTTGCAGCTGCATTAACTTGCTTCTCCAACAGTAATGCTGGGTCCAGTATAACTGCTAGAGTTTTAACTGAGTTGGCAAGGGTCAACTGAACTCTATCAAAAGTCAGAAGCACAATAGCATTCAAAGCCTCAGGCTTCCCAACCAACATTATCTCTGTCTTGTCAATGAAGATATCATGGCTGATAATAATTTTATCTCTATCTCTCTATCTGTTTGTATTTAAAAAAACTGCATGAAATATTTTTAATGTTCTGATGTTTGCCACTTTGGAGACCTTGTATTGGGTAGAAAGGTAGCATAGAAATGTTTTAAATACGTACATTAATAAAAATAAATGAATATGTCTAGTCCACTTGTATAGCTACCCATGTCTGTTCCACAAATTGTTATGTGAAAGTACTTCCTTTTGTTTGCCCTGAGATTCCTTGTCAACTTCCTCCTAAACAGCTTCCACAACAAACTGCAAACTCTAGCATTATGGGACAGGGAGGAAATGTCCTCCTAAACATAGTTTTGTAAACCTCTATCAGCCCCTCCCCTTTTTTCTGTGTCTTGAAAATGCCCTGAAGCTTCCTTATGGGCAGGTGTTTATTTTGGTGGTACTTTTCTCCATCTTTTCCAGTTCTTATATATCCTATTTGCGATGGGGGGGCCTGATTTTTCCTGATCAAATTCAGCAGAAAGAACATGTGAGATGGGACAGTAATGACAACAAATAACAGCAATAATCTTATTATATATAAACAGCCTGTTGTGGCTCATAAACCATTATCTTGCTTTCAGCATGACACATAACAGGTATGCGTGACACTTGCATTTTCATACCAAGCAAATGAGCAGGAAGACATCCTTTTGAGTCAATGCGATGTGAGCCATATATTTTCTGGAGATTACTCCTCACATAAGCATGTAGCTGCTGATACAAAGGTTTTATCTGGAGAAGATTAGAAATGAGAAATACATCAATTCCATTTTTGTTTTGGGAAATCTAGGGTATCAAAGACATTTATGTCATATCTGTACCCCACTTTTCCTCACATCAATGCAGTGAAGCCAGTTAGGCTGACATATAGATCACCTCAATGAGTTTTATAGCTGAGCGGGGATTTGAACCTGGGTCTCCCTAGTTCCAATCCAGCCTCAGTCTGTCTCCCGTTCACTATATTTGCTAGAACTTTCTTGTACTCAAAATATAAGTTCAGTAGGCATGAACCATTCAGCTGGATCACTCCAAAGGCCTATCTAAGCCACTGTTTAATTCCTGGACACTTAAAAACAAGGTGTTAAGGCAACATCCCCAGCCTCTGAAGCCAGAAGTGACTGTCTCTGAACTTGGAGCTATTATGGCTAATAGTTGTCCATGAATAAACCATTCTGGGATATTACTATAGTGAAATTTCACCCCATGAGTACTCTGATAAAATTTAGAGCTCTGAGAACCTTGAGTGACAGGAGATTAAAATGGAATTTTACAGTTTGGAGTGGCAGTTAGGAGCGGCAGTTAAGAAATAACAATTGACTGGGAAGGAAGGTTAAGAGTGAGAAGATCAAGGAGGATTCCCATTTAAACCTGATGTAAATAGCTCCTAGTAAAAAGGGGAGGGGGTGTCCCTGTCAAGTGATTAAGAAGGGATACTGGAACATGTGAATGTTCCTGCCTTCACCAGCTTAAGTGTCTGTGAGACAAAGAAACTTATGCTTGGCAATTTAAGCAGAAACTACCAAGAAATCTCCTTCCTCAGTGTTTAAAGACCTGTTTGAACAACTAAACAGCTACTTGTGCATGACAAACTATCTTTTGTTTATATTTATACAAAGTTACCTCATTCCTGTTGCTTGTCCACCTTTTAAGCCCTAAACCTGATACCTATCTGACCATTTCCCCTCGAAAGTACAATAAAACAGTTTGTTTGTTTTGAGTTACTATCAGCCTCACATGTGCCATTATCAAACAAAAAGAAAAGAAGAATTTTAATTAATCCCTCAGATCCCTAGATTGGGTCAGTGTTCATTCTGCCTGTACTCAGAGGTTACCCTAAAACCATCTCACTGGGTAGGTAAAAGGCTGCAGAAGAAATTTTCTCTAGTTCCAGTTTTTAGGAGTATGGCAATCTTCTGAGGAGGAATTTCCCAGCAGGTGAAAGTGGATGTATTTTGTGTAAATATAAAAGGGGGGAAGCAAGGCTTTGAGGAGAGTCTTCCTTGAAATGTCACAAATTCCAGGGGAAAATTTTGGGTAAGGGGACTTTTGTCTTAATTTGTATTTCATGCAACCGTGTGAGAGAGCAACACTGTTTTAAGACTCACCTGGACAGAACCAATACAAAATTATGAAAACTGAAATTCATAGTGTTTAACATTATTATATCTCATGAATTCAGCATCAAGGAGATAGATGTATACCTAAGTTAAGAGCGTTTTCACTTCCATTTAGTTTCCTTTTTTTTTTGGTTAGACAATTTTGCTCTTTATCTGTTTTGCTATTTACTTGTCTTTAATAACAAGCAGAGTTAAACTTTCCTTTTCAGGAAATTGGTGTATGTTTGTGGTCAGTCTGTTGTCAGCCTAACTTGGCCCATGATGCCCTAGAAACTAGGAAGGTGCCCCGGAAAAGTCCGGAGTTCTTAAATGGAAGAAGAGGCTTTAAAGAGATTGTTTTGGTCCCAGAGGGGTTCAGTTAACATACTTCCAGAAGTCTCTAGTGGTGGCAGGTGGTAAAAAGTTTTTATTTGCTGTTGGACAAGACAGAACAAGGTTGGAGTGGTGAATTTCCTATTATGATTTAGTAACTTGGGTCCTGAGGTGGGACTTGGAGGTGTCTCAATTCAAAGTGCAGCTTTTTATCCATCTATTTTCCCCAACTCTTGGATCCCTCAGGCTACAGTTTTGTAAGCATGCGAACTACAAGCCCCACCAGACTTGACCCAACAGGATTTATCTGCAATTGAATAGGTATAGGATCAAAGTCCTTGTCCCTCTGGACAGCAACAGTCTAATTAAGTAGGTAATTTAATTGTAATGAGCAGGTCTTTCTTATGCCTGATAGTGTTCAGGATGAAGCAGTAAAATATGAACCAGACTCCAACAAACGTGCAAAATCCCATACTCTAAAGCAGGGGTGTCAAACTCATTTGCATGAGGGCCAGATCTGACATACATGAGACCTTGTTGGGCTGGGCCGTGTGTGTCATAAAATGTAATGCCAGGTAGTGGCGATATAAACTTTATAAAGGACACAAACACAAATATTTTTTTAAACTTAAAATAAAAACGTGCTTAAAACAATAGCACTGTAAGCTGCAAACTTACTTTTGATTTATTGACATTCACCACAGAAATCTCATGCTCAGAGTTCTGAGTCTAGGACCCAGGTTAAAACATGAAATGGCTGAGGGATTAAGAGAGTCTGATGAAGCAAGCTATGATGCAGCAGCAGAACTGGCAGCAGGAGATGGCCAGTTCCACTGTGGGCCTGATGGAAGCACTCTGAGGGTCTCATCTGGCCCACGAGCTGCATGTTTGACACCCTTGCTCTAAAGGACATTTGGAATTCTATAGTTCTGTCAAGAATCAGAACGCTGAGGTGTATCAACAGTTCTATCAATAATCCAAAGTCTTTAATTTTCACTTGTGTTCTGATACTAGAATAAAAAAGGCATTCATGGCACTAAAGCTATGGATCTGGTTGCCCAGGCCCCTTCCCCCTGTACAAATGAGACACTGAACAGGACTGGCAGGGCCCCTCCCATGTGGGCATTTGCCCATGCAGCCAAACCTGTAGTCACAGCACATTATCGGAGGGGGAGAAAGCTTGGCATCCCTTGGCATGTTGCATGTGCAGGCAAGGAAAGAAAGGCTGGCATCATCGCTGGCCAAGTTTGGAGCCAGGGAGGATTTGCCTGAATAATGTCAACTATGGTAAGGCTGCCTAGTGCAGCCCACCCCTTAAAATATGTTAGCATATTTTAGTATACTATGATGTAGATCAGCCATATCAGTAAACTAGTTAAACCCGTACTTGTGTGTCTTGTGTCCTTACTTGGAAGAAAGTGCCTAGGACAAGTAATCTTCTGAATGAAGCTTTAGTATAGCGACTGACAGCGCCATTCTAAGCAGAGTTACACCTTCTAAGGCATTTTAAATCAGTGGGCTTAAAAGGGTACAACTGTTTAGGATTGGGTTGCCAGGTCCCCCTTGGCCACCGGCGGGGGATGGGGAGTAGAGTAGCCAGATCCAGGTTGGGAAGCTCCTGGAGACATGGGGATGGAGCCTGGGGAGGACAGGAACCTCAGTGGGGTACAATACCACAGAGTCCACCCTCCAAAGCATCCATTTTCTCCAGGGGGACTGATCTCTGTAGTCTGGAGATGAGCTGTAATTCCAGGGGATCCCCAGGTCCCACCTGGAGGCCAGCAACCCTACTTTAAAATTGTACTGTAAATCTTACTTGTTGAAATGTTTCTTCCACATCGGTGATCAGCTGCTCGCGTCTGTATCGATAATCCTCGGGATAATCTGTTTCATAATTTCCTCTCCAGTAATCTCCATAGTCAGAATAATCTGAAAAGCAAATCTATGCAGTTATTTCTATTAGAGCACAGTAAACCACAAGCCACAGGCTCTGAGTCTGAGCAGATACAACTCCAAACTGATTAAATTCATTCAAACAATAAATGATCAAATGCTATTAGCCACGGTGGCTAAAATAAATGTCTTTGCTTAAAGGCTTCTGTGACTCTGACCACCAGCTGGCAGCGGCTGAGGACTAACACAGGAGGAAGGTTGTTGCTTGTGGCTTTCTGTGGGGAACGTGGTCAGCCACTGTAGGAAACAGCAGAAATAAACAGGAGTTCAGGAGCACCTTTAAAACTAACCCAGTTTCATTCTAGCATAAACATTTGTGGACTAGAGCCCATTCCATCAGATGTAAAGTATGTACAAAAAGATTCTATATGACATTCAGGAAGTACAAGAAACATGACCCTCAGACCCTGCAGTTTATGTTTTCTCCATAACCTCTTATATAAATGTCTGCCATTTGAGGCATCTGATGAAGTCACTTCTAGTCTACAAAAATTTCTGCTAGAATAAAATCTTGTTTAGACTTTCAATTCTGCCTAGGATTGCACTGTAAATGGCCAAGTTTCAGAGAATAATGGTTTACCCCTCATATTACGTGATATTGCCCTTCTGTGTAACCATCAGTTCAGCCACAGAGCTATTTTCCAGTGGGGTAGCCATGTTCATTGCAGTAAAAACAACTGGCAACTCTTAAAGACTAAAAGATACATTGCAGCCTGAACTTTTAGGGCTCAGAGCACACTTCATCCATTTGACATTTTCCCGTGGGATTTGGATACTCTTACATAGAATTAGGACAAAGTATATATTACTTAAAGCAAATACATCAAAATATTATCATTTAGCAGTAGTTTGTATTTCCAGTCATCCGCAAAAGGGACTGCACATGAACACAGAACATTCAGCAAAGAAAGAAAAGAAAAAAGAGATGATCATAACTTACTAGTCCCCCTTGCAATCTCATTCTTCAGTTCAACATAACCTTCATATAAAGGCCTCATTTTCTTGCCAATGTCAGCTCTCCAGCCTTGCCAAGCCCACAGTCTCTCTGAATAATCAGTACTGTCGGCCATTATAGCATCCAGACCTATCATCATAAGCAAAGAATCATGATGACTTAAAATCTTGATTTGCCTAAAGTGTACATATACATATCTGACATAGAGGGCCACTTCAAATAATTTTAAATTTGTGCATAGATAAGTTAAGTGGGTCCAGTGATAAGAGTGGTCAGGTCATCTTTATTGTCTCTATGCTGACCCAAAATATGGTAGAGTTAATTTGCCCTTACTAATGTTCCTTCCTTCCTTCAAATCAAATAAATTAATTAAAATGTAAAGGCCTGTTTTGTTTTATTCATTAATTAGGCCACAAAAAGTGCCTGTAGTGACTGCAGTGTAATAAAATAATGAAAATACCAAAAGCACACAGGCTTGGCTTCTACAAATGTGAACACATTAAATGGTCATTGAAAGATGATATTCAGTTATACAGTCATTGCCATTGTTGTAGACTTTATATTAAAGGCCACAGTAGAGGCTCATCGTTCATACTGCACCTGGTTCCAGGGGCAAACATGTAGAGGTATCTGCCAGGTTGCACACAGTCCCGGTACTGTAAAGGGTGCTCATCGTACTTAAAATGCTGTACAGCTGCAATTTAAATTGGAAGAATATAATTGAAAATGAGGATATAGCACTTCCTTATTTATCCAAGAGGCAGGTGGACAAATCAGAGATAGGATGCTGAAATATCAGCCTTGTAAATTGTATTTAAAAAGCTGAAGTCCTGTGTGGAAAGTTATTGAACACATTGAGAAATTGTAAAGTTATTAAATAAATGTGAGGGGATTTTGCTTCTTGGGGGAGCGAAAGCTGCAGATATTGCAGGCCTGAGGGTTGCCAGGTCCTCCTTGGACACCCGTGGGGGAAGGGGAGTAGGATTGCCAGCTCCAGGTTGGGAAACTCCTTGAAATTTGGGGATGGGGCCTGGGGAGGACAGGGACCCCATTGGGTATGATGCCATCGAGTCCACCTTCCAAACCATCTCTGTAGTCTGGGGAGATGGGCTGTAATTCCTGGGGACCTAGAGGCTGACATCCTTAACTTTAGACAGCCTGACAAGTTGTGGGCCTGAGGCCTAGTTAGTTGCTTCAAGGACACTGAGGTTTTCAGTGTAGGGTTGTCAACCTCCAAGTGAGGCCTGGAGATCTCCCAGAATCACAACTGATCTCCAGACTAGAGAGATCAGTTCCCCTGGAGAAAATGGATGCTTTTGGAGCGCGAATTCTGTGTCATTGCACCCCATTGATGTTCCTGTCCTCTCCAAGTGTCACTCCCAGATCTCCATGAGTTTCCCAACCCGGAGCGTACCCAATGGCAACCTTACATTACCCCCCATCCCCTGCCAAGAGCTATGGGGAACTGGCAACCCCAAGTGGCGCTGACAGGGAGAAGAAAGCTGAAGAAAGAGGACCCTGAGAAGGTATGCTGAGGGAGAGGTGGAATCTTCCAGGTGCAGTGCCTTGGTGTCCTTATTCCATTATCATCCATGAGGAGAAATTACTAGCTTCATACATGTCACTCCTTCCTGGGGTTGTTCTGAATCTTGTATTCAAGTTATTGAACAAGCCAAGGAAGAGCTGACACAAGGGAAGGATTCAGAGGAGCACAACAGCTCTATGAGTGAGGACTTGAGCTGGTGAAAGATAAAGACAGAGAAATTGCATATTTGAATTTATTAGGGAAGAGAACTAGCATAGGCATTGCAACCTCCCTTGGTTACAGTAACACTGAAAGGAACAATCGGGTGTGCATGCAAACAGTTAAATATTCAAATTATACTTTTAAAATATTGAATTCTTTAACAAACATTTTCCTCTTTTGTTCTGATTCTACATTGGTCTCAGTGTTGTCTGACTATCCTGTGCTTACTAGCAGTATGTTTACGGATATTTATGTAAAACAGGGTATTTTACTTTTAAGCAAAATTGTGGCAGCGAAAAACAAGAAAAGAATCTATAAGACCCCAGTCTGCCCTTAGTGCCAGTATGATCAAGAGGGGCTGGATAAGCAAAGTTAGAAAAAACCATGTTCCCCACACACACCAATTTTCGAATGGATAAATACATCAAATTTACTACTCCACACAAAAAATTGCTAGCCTGCCTCCTGTTAGTACCATCTGTAGTACTTTGCAGTCTCAGGAAAAACAACTAACTTACAATTTACAAAACCTTTCCCAACCAGGTTGTCTGGAGGTGCCCTTGCTTGCCATAGGTGACCAGGCAAGTGGCAATTTGCAAGCTTGATTTTCATAGGATTATATTGGGCTGGATTCAACCAGCTTTCCCACTAGTTAAAAAAGGAGGAGGGATCTTTTTTGGCCACCCCAAAAGGGCAATGCTGAGAATTGTGGGACCTGCATGGGCAAAGCTATGTAGGATGAGTCGGGTTCCCAGCCTCCAGGTGACACCTGGAGATCTCCCACTATTACAATTGATCTCCAGGTGACCAAGATCAGTTCCCCTGGAGAAAAAGGCTGCTTTGGAGGGTGGATCCTGTGGCATTCTATTGCAAACCCCACCTCCCCAGGCCCACCCCCCAGTCTCCAGGTATTTCCAAACCCAGAGCTGGCAACCTTAACCTGGCTGTAATAAGGAAGAGGACTGGGTGAGACAGAGTCAAGAAGCTGGGTGGATCCAGCCCACTGACAGGAACATAACACGAGGAATAGAAAAGGCTGGATTGAAAGATGCACATGCAAAAGGTTCCTTCCATTCATAGAGGAATTTCGAAATAAAGTATAGCATAAGGAAAGCAAAACTAAATCCAAAGATGTTCTGCTTGTGCAAGAGCTTGCACAAGCATGAGACTTGCCATAAACCTCAACACAGCCGTGCACTAATTCTTACACAAGCTCTTGCATAAACAGCTGTAGAACAGCAGCAGCAATTTCTTTCTTTCTTTCTTTCTTTCTTTCTTTCTTTCTTTCTTTCTTTCTTTCTTTCTTTCTTTCTTTCTTTCTTTCTTTCTCTCTCTCTCTCTCTCTCTCTCTCTCCCTCCCTCCCTCCCTCCCTCTCTCCCTCTCTCCCTCTCTCCTTCCTTCCTTCCTTCCTTCCTTCCTTCCTTCCTTCCTTCCTTCCTTCCTTCCTTCCTTCCTAGCCAGCAACTGAACAACAGCAAAACATGCTTTCAAGATCCTAATTCAGCATGCCTAAACAGATATTGAAAGAAGTCTGATAAAGTGCCAGTATTAAAAAACCTAGTTGAAATAATATACAAAAAAACAACGCAGCAGGCCGGAGCCTCATCAGGACAGAGGCCGCAGCGGAGCATGCGCGGAAGTGCGAGTGGTCCTGGCCCGGAAATGGAATAGCTACAGCCGGAAGAAGGGAACTCCAAAGACCAGCACCAGAAAGGACGCCGCCGACTACCGTCCGCAAGAACAAAACAACAACCGAAGATCCACCGCAAAAAAAAAAAGGGGTGCCTGGTAGGGTAGTCACCACCCCTGTATGTCTGTGGCCCTAGGTTAGATTCTGTAAAAATGTGATTAGCACTCTCTGTAAGCCGCCCAGAGACCCTTAGGGGTTAGGGCGGGATAGCAAATTGAATAAATAAACAAATGTAAATAAAAATACATGTAGTTATTAGAAAAACAGTTAAAAACATATAAGGGCCCAAGGAAAGCCGTGTTAAAAAGTTCATGGCCTAAACACAAGGGCCAATACAAATGACCTGATGTGTTGCTGCCCTATTGGGGCCTTCTTCAGAGGTCAAACAGTATTGAGGAACACATAACAATAATACATACTACAATACGATAACCAATAAGTGAATACTTGACCAAGAAAATGAGCTTAAACAGCAAGATCTATGGACACAAGACAAAGGTGTTTGTGAGGCCTCTAAAGATGAAAGTCATGTGTCTGGTGCCAAATGCACAGTTGCTGAATTAGAACAGCTTCCAATTTAGGTCCAAAAAGCACCTGTGTGGCTATCTAAGTCAGAGCTAGAGTGTCTTCAAGCATCTGATGACTGCACATCCATGTCATCATAGCTCCTTCTCAGACTCTATGGGGAAGGAGATGTATGAACAGCCACTAGGACTGCTCCAGGGCAATCCTCAACAGAATCACACCATTGACAGCAATGAACTTAGAAGGCATGTAACTCTGCTTAGGACCGCACAGTTTCCCAAGTTACTGGGAGTTGACTGTGTGTTGTTTGTGCATCCATATGCAGAAACTTCCATTGACTGAGGTACAAATAATATTGAAAAAGAGAATAGCACAAGAACTCCCAACAGTATAAATTGTGGCACAGAAGGTCTTTATGCTCGCTGTGCCTCCTTGTGCAGTATTTTAGCACTATGAGAATAGCAAAGTTCCATCATGAAAACTGGTAGCCAAGTCATGAAACCTCTATAGGGCCACAATCCATCCAAACTGAGAGATGTTAAGCAGAGAACTGTTCAGTTTTCAAGCCTCCTATATATTGATATACCCTTGCAGCCAAATCCTTTGCATGTTTACTCAGAATTCATAGGAATTTTAAGTAGGATTGAAGCCTTAGTGATTTATTGTTAAATAATATGGCCTCAAATAACCCTTTAAGTAATCTACACAGTGTATTTCCTTGCAGAGGAATATTTATATATCTTTAATTGCCTTTCATTATTTAAAAATATGGACACAGCATATGAACTTTGACTCTGTTGCTATTTCCTCTTTATCTTAAAAATAAGATGTTTTAAATTAAAGGCTATCTTGGAGCCAATTTAAATGTATTCTGAAGCACAATGGATATCTGCATTAGCTCTTTGAGCACACACACAAAATCAATTTTGATGCCTTCTACATGAAAACGGCAGAGGAAATTGTTATCCTATTGTATAAATTGCTCCTGTGAAGCAAGAACCACCACAAAGAACTTTAGCTTACATGCCTAATTTTCCTACAGTGGCATAAGCCTTAATGCAGAGGTCTGAAAAAAACAGTTTATTTTATTAATTGAATTCATTAACCACCCTCCCCAGTAGGACTGGGTGGTGTACACACAATCAACCAAACGCCTGGCGGAACATCTCTGCCTTGTACGCCCTGCAGAATTATAGTACGTCCCAGAGGGTGCGGATGCTACTCAGCAGAGAGTTCCACCAGGTTGAAGCCAGGGCAGAGAAAGCCCTGGCTCTGGTCGAGGACAACGGGACATCTCTCAAGCGGGGGACCGCCAATGAGTTTTGATCTCCCAAGTGTAGCTCTGTTCTGGGGGTGTATCAGGAGAGGTGGTCCCGAAGGTATGTAGGTCCCTGGTCATTAAGGATCTTAAAGGTCAGCACCATAACCTTTAATCTGATCCAGTACTACACCGGAAGCCAATGCAACTCACGCAGTACTGGATGGATATGTGCTGTGTGTGACATCCCCGTAAGGACCCGTGCTGCTGTATTTTGTACCAGTTGGAGTTTCCAGGTCAGCCTCAAGGATAGGCCCACATAGAGTGAATTACAGTAATCCAGTCTGGAGGTGACTGTTGCATGGATTACAGAGGCTAGGTCAGGGCAAGACAGGTATGGGGCTAGTTGCCTAGTCTGGCGTGGATGAAAGGATGCCAGTCTGGCAACATTTGTGACCTGGGCCTCCATTGTTAAGGAGGTGCCCAGGGTCACACCCAGACTCCTAATGGCAGGTGTCGGTCTCAGAGGCATGCCATCAAGGGCTGGGAGTTGACATCCCCACACTTGAATCTCCTCGACCCAGCCGCACAACCTCCATCTTAGAAGGATTCAATCTCAGCTGGCTCCATTTTAACCATCCCACCACAGCCTCCAACCCCTCTGCCAGACTGTCTAGGGTGGAATCTGGCCGGCCGCTCATCAGCAGATAAAGGTGGGTGTCATCAGCATACTTGGCTCACTGGCTCGCCCATCAGCTTACTGATGACACCCCAGCTCGAACGTCCAAACTCACGCTAGCTGGGCAATGGGGCACATATAGATGATAAATAGCATCAGGGATAGGATTGCCCCTTGTGGTACCCCACATACTAAGGGGTACCTGAGCGATACCCTCTCTTCCTGCACCACCCTCTGTCCCTGGCCTTGGAGAAATGAGGCAAGTCACTATAAGACTATCCCCCAAAACTCCAATGTCAGCCAGGTGGTAGGTCAAAAGAATGTGATTAACTGTGTTGAATGCTGCTGTGAGATCCAATAATACCAACAGGGCTGACCTGCCTCAATCCGGCTGCCTATGAAGTTCATACATGAGGGTAACTAATGGCCAGGGCAGAAGCCAAACCGGAATGAGTCCAGGGCCAACATCTCATCCAGGAAACTCTGGAGCTGTTCCACAACCACTTTCTCAATTACTTTGCCCAGAAACAAAAAATTCAAAACTAAGTGGTAATTGGAAGGATCAGAAGGATCCAAAGTTGGCTTTTTCAAGAGTGCTATGACCACAGCCTCCTACAATTCCTCTGGATAGACCCCCAGATCTAGGGACAGATTGATAATGTCTACCAGGGGACCCTGTATCCTCTCACCGCCAGCTTTCACCAGCCATGAGTGGCTCGGGTCTAGCAGGTATGTGGTCTTGCATAAGCTGTGTTACAATGAAGACCAGGGCCGGTGGGTATGCTCATTCAATGTAACGTCTGCACAGATCATATATACATACAAACTCGATGCATATAGGTTCCATCCCAAAGGTCCGGGACACCGATTTCCCAGGGTTCCTGACTGCAGAGACTATGCTATGCCTGCCATTCTGTAGATAGGGCCTGGAGTTCTCCCAGTGAGCTGGTCTCCACCCTATGACGATCAGTTCCCCTGGAGAGGGCAGATACTATGGGCAGGATGAAAGCCAGACTGGAAAGGATCCAGGATATTAGCCTCCTCCAAGAACGCCTGGAACTGTGTTGCCACTGCCTTCTCTACTACCTTGCCCAGAAATGGTAAATTAGATACAGGGCAGTAGTTACTAACTCCCTGGGAAAGTCCCCGTTGAAAGGGATGGGATGACAGTCTCCCTCAGGGAGGTCCCCACCACATGGCCGCAAGATTTCATTAGCCATGATGGGAGGGATGAAGAGGACAAGTGGTAGGCTTCACTGCTGCCAAGGTCTTGTCAACTTCATCCTGGATGAGCAGACTGAAGTAGTCCAAGACTTGACCCAAAAACCCTCTCCCCCCGCTGCAATCTTTCCCAAAGCTTTACAGTAAAGCATATTTAAGAAAGATCACAATAAACCCAAGGAAAAGCTGTAAGGTGCACGAATGTGTCATGGTGCTGTGTGGAAGTGTGTGTGTGGGGGGGGGACCACACACTGGACCAAAGTGCCATTGTGGGAGCAACCTGGGTGAGCATGTGCTTTTAACCCATATTTAAAAATAAAAAATAAAAAAATAATTTGCTTTTTAAAAAAAACAAAAAAGGAATTCACTGCACATCCTCAGTTCCTTTAAGGACTATAAGGAACACTGAACATCTACAGGTTCTATAAAAGGGGTTCTGCATTTCAGTGTTGGGGAAAAACTCATCTGCTGAATATTGCTTTGGTTTTGATCTCTTAAAGGAGACCTGTTTTATCTGGCATAGAGTCATTGTAGCCTACTAAGGATCTAGTCCCATGTATAGATCTTACTTCCAAGTAAACCTGATTGGGCAGAAAGTTCTTGCAGTGAGAAAAAAGTAGGGAAAACTTACTTAAAAGTTTTCTCTGTGAAGCTTTAAGAGCCTCATCACAAATGGCCTGAAATACTGGAATCAACCACTTCAAGTAACCAGCTTGGAAATCAGGCAGTTTATATAATGGCTACTTCACATTCACCCTTCTCAGAATTCTCAACAGCCAATGCACGTTCTCTTGGAGAGAATATAATGGATCTTGCTCCCAGGTACATACTCATAGAATGGAACAGAGTGGGTCTTTCTTCTGTGTAAATGAACAGAATTGGGCTGTACATCCTCCAGCCTTTTTAGGAAATGATGGACTAAAACAGTAATTTTGCAAAGTAAAGTAACAGTAATTTTGCAAAGTAAAGTCATCTTGTTAGAAAACCTGGTTTGTGAGTTCTTTATGTTATATATAGGGCTATGTCTGAATTTCTATAATTTTTATTATTCATGTTTATATTTACAGAATAAAAGCTGAGAACAGGGATTATTGTATGACTACTCTCTGTGCTGGTTTAGAGTTGCCAGTTTCAAGGTGGGCTGGAGTGACAACTGACCACCAGACTACAGAGGTGTAGGATGGACTCTACGGGATGACGTCTCCTCCCCAAATTCCCCTCCCCAGAAATCACTCCCAAATATCCAGGAATTCCCCTGGCAGGAGTTGATAGCCCCACACTAGATGTATTCAGCTACACAAACCATTTACTGGGATTAAGAAACATACTTTGCTTCGTTTTTCTGCTGATAGTACAGAGGATCCATTGTACTGCAGAGACTGAATCTGGAGCTTGATATGGGGATCAGAAATGCTATTCACATCAAAACTACTGGCCATTTGGGAAGCTTCTTGATAAAACACTGACCATCTGGAGCCGACTTCATCCTGAAAAAGATTTGTTTGAATTCTGAATTATTCATTTTCAAGAAAATATAACCGTGAATGCTTGACTAGGTGGACATTTGACCTGATACAGCAGTTTTTTCTTATGAAATTCACTCACACAAGATATACTTTTGCAGTCAATTTAAACCATTTCTAGTAATAAAATCAAATGTATTCTAAGATATTTTGCCTGTCTTCTACATATAACCATAATATGTGCAATCCACTGACAGCTTTATTAACCCCCAAGACTTAACTAAGAAATAAACCAACCAAACAGATTCAGCTGTTAGAACATCTTTTTCTGCTTGGTTGTTTGTTTTGCTTTGTTGGACATGTAGTTGTTTAGTACAGGAACTATCACTGTGTTAACTTTTGAATTAAATCTCTACCCGTAATAATGTCTGGCACACACTTGCAACACATGAGGTGTATGTCGGTTGTGAGTGTGTATTAGACAAAAATACATTGCCATTAAATTTATATGCATGGGGTTGCTTTGGACCCCATTTTTTGGGAAAGCAGGATAACAAAATTTCAATAAAATAAAGAAGTTAATAATACTGGCAGTTTCACTAAACATCCCACTTGTTCTTGATAGAGATCTTGGCAACCTGAATAGTCTTCTGTGCATCTTCAGTGTTTTTTTGACTTTTGAGAGTCACATGCTTTCCAGCTATCAGGATATTGAATAAAATGATAATCATAATTATTGTAAAGAATCTGTGGGGTGGTGGGCTTGTTAGATTAAGATGTAGCCAGGCTGAATTAAGACAGCATCACTGCGTGATAAAAAGCTAAACCAAAAACAATTTGCTGAAAACATGTGGCAACCAACTTCAAAATGCTTTAAAAAATTGTGGATTTTATACATATTGCAAGATACCTGATTGTCATTGAAAGCAATGCAATGTAATCCTATGCGTCCACTCAGAATTAAGTTCTTCTGTGTTCAGCGGGGCTTATTCCCAAGTAAATGTGCACAGAATTGCACTCTTAATGACTGACAACCAACCACTGACATAAGCCTTATATGTTTCAGTGGGACTTGGTCATGTTTGTTGGTTAGTTAACATATGCTGGATTGTGTCTGCCACTGTAGATAGAGCATGAAGTCTGGCTGGGATGTTAGAAAATTAGAAGCAGGGAAGACCTTATGATGCAACAGGACACAATAGCTGAGATCCTTCTAGCAGTTTGGGCAATAAGTGCTTTGTCCATCTATGGGAATCTAGAGATTGTACCATTTTGGAAAATCTCCGTCAAATTCTATCAGGTCTATATGTGCGCTGTTGTTTGCTCAGGTGATTCTGTGTGAATACAGAATCCCTCCTGTTGTCCATCTTGAATTGGATTTACCATCTTGTTCCATATGAACCACATAGGTAGTATCATGCTGATAAACCAGCATATAATATTCAGATTTCCCCAAAGGTGGTTTAGCTCTTTAATGAATCAAGCTAGTACTTTATTATTTCTATTTTTATTTTCTAATTTAATAACAAATACTTGTGAAAGGTACCCACCATCTTCCAGGCATTCTCCTCTGTGATATTGGTATTGTAATTCCATGAAGCAAGTGAGTTTTCATAAGACAGATTTTCTGCTCGCGGGTTAAACTGTTCCAGAAATTCTTTGGCCCTTTGGGTCACATCCTGGGCTGCAGCCAGAAGAGCCAAATTCCAAAGAAGACAGAGATGCCTCCGCATAGCTCTTCCTGAAAGGAAACTTAATGAGGTTCCTTCAAGAAAACGTCCTTATAAGTGCTTGTCTCATCAGCCTAGTCAGCCACAGCAAAGAGACAGAATCCAATTCATCAAGCATTTTATAGTTTCAATCTAGCAAAAGTACAAAACTAGAATAGTTGTGTGTTTTTTTTAAGTCAAACAAGAAAATGTGAATGATTAACTTTGGAGAAACATAATTGCCAGTAATATTTTATGGCTTTCTTTTTAAAGGCTGTTACTTACAGTTAATATTTCCCCAGTGCCCTGTCAATGATAGAGCGATTATCTGTAGTCTCAGATTTTCTAAGAGAAGAACTCGTGTATTACTCAATGTAAGAATGTAGGGATCCTAAAGGCCTGCACACCTAAGATCTGACTGCTGCTTCTGATCAGTAGTTGATATCCTTACCTCTGCACTTCTGGCTGTGTGACCTCTTCTCTCTTCTTCCACTTCTTCCTTCGGACCCTGCCCTCTGGCTTTCTCTTCTTCTCCTTCCTTTAGACCACTCCTTCTTCCAGCCCTGCTTCCTTATTCTGCTGCCTACTGAAATACATGACTCATCCACTCCTAGGACACTGCTTCCTCTACTCCTTTCTGTCTTAGGGCCATCCGCTTGCTCTGAACCCCTTCTAGAATCAGAGCAGATCAGCCAGTGGAAGCCCTTGTGATGACCTACCTCTAAGCAGCATTACGTCAGCTCAGGTGATCAGTCCACGAGCTTCAACAATACCACAGTAAAATTCGCCAATAATGGACATGTAGATTTCTTACACATGGGGTAGCTTGACTCAGTTTGGATGCTGTTGGGATGTATTTTCCCCCTGTTTCCCAATAGCATCATGGTATTTCTGTGTATCTGCTGGACTTTCCCTGTCTTTCATATGATCTTTCCCAAACCTGCTTTGTGGTGATATTTTAAGAAAGATCACAAACTTTCTGGTTATGGCTACGTCTCTGCCACCAGTCCCCTGCAGTGGCCACTTCTCCTGCACCACTAGAGGGCTATCTGAGAAATCAGCAATGGAATCTGTAGCATTATAATATTACTAGCAGTAAAGCCCGTTGTGAAAGCAATACAATGAGATCTAGAAAGATGTGATTTGTAACGAATGCATAGGCTGGAAGGAGGTAAAGCAACTATTAGCATGCAACGACTTGAAGGAGGTAAAGTAAATAGGTGCCAGTGCACTGGTTTGAGTAGCTGGGGGGGGATACATGCTGATCTACGACCACAAAGATGGGAGAACATGTACCTGAATGAAAGGTGGTCTGAAAGGTGGCAGTGGAGTGTTTCTCAGGGTGGGGGGTTGAAACGGGCAGAGTCTCCCTCACTGAGGAGGTACAGTGTGCAGCCGCTTAAAAGCTGGGTTTGAAAGGTGTGACTGCAGTGTTCCCTTGCTCCCCATGAAGCCCTGCAAAGCCGGGGGTGGGGGGAATGGGGAAACTGGCCTGCAGCGACCCTTGCACTGCTCCCCAGAAGGCCTGCGTCGTGTGGGGGGGTGCCGAAATCAGGCCTGCAGCATGCGGCTCATCGCTGCCGCTGTCCTTCAAGTGCTCCCCAGAATGCCTACTTGTGGGGGGGGGCGGTGAAATTGGACCTGCGGTGGGCAGCTCATCACTGCTGCCGCCACCGTCCTTTAACTGCTCCCTTCAAGTGCTCTCCAGAAGGCCTGGCTAGTCAGGCGGGGAGGGGTGGTGGCGAAATGAGGGCTGCGGGGGGCGGCTCATCACCGCCACCACCGCCCTTCAAATAAATCATTTTCTACACTCACACTGTCCCCTGCCAGAATGCAACACATCCAGTGTTCCCTCTAAGATGAGTTTGTGTGAGCTAGCTCACATGTTTTTAGCCTCCGGCTCACAGATTTTTGTCTTAGCTCAGGAAGGAGGGCTTCAGAGCAAACTAATTCATGCAGCAGCCAAATCGCTCGCTCACAACTTTAATGCCAGGAGCTCACCAAGTAGAATTTTTGCTCACAGGACTCCACAGCTTAGAGGGAGCCTTGAACACTTCCCCAGCACTTTGAATTAGCATGAATTAGCACCAGAGCTTAATGAGCTCTCCAGCTGTCACCTGGAGATTGGCAACAGCTTGTTTGGAGAGTGGGGTCTATGGCATTGTATCTGTCTGAGGTCCCCCGCTTCCTCCTCCTCCTCAGACCCCACCCTCAGCAGGCTTCATCCCTAAAATATCCTGGAAGTTTCAAACTTGGAGTTGGCAACCCTATGTACTTTCCTGGCAACCATCAGCCTACCTTTATCTGCCTGTCTGTCTTCAGGTTTACATCCCTCCCCCCGCAGTCTCTGTCTAGGGAAAGGGCAGCCTTTCCCTGCAGTGGGAACCAAAGCAGCTGACATCATTCTCCTCTCCTCCGTATGATCCGCACAACAACCCTATGAGGTATGTTGAGGTTGAAAGTGTGTGTATGGTCCATAATCCCCCAGGCAGCTTTTAAAACATGAACCTGGGACCTGCACACCATCCTCTGAAGCGCTCTCAGGTACATATCTGTGGCAGAAATGGGGTGACTGCTGGCACCGTTTCCTATCATTTTTTGCCT